TTGTACTTTTTTAAACAAATAAAGCATCTCAGTTACTCAGCAATAAAAGGGAAGGAACTACAACTATTGATACCCACAATTTACATGAATATCCAGGGAATTATGCTGATTGAACGAAGCCAATCCTAAAAGGTTCCATTTACATGCATTTCTGGAAAAGACATCGTCATAGAAATGGGGAACCGATTTGTGGTTGCCAAGGGTTAGGCTGGGATGGGGGACTGGAGCGAATTAGGTGAAAAGGCAAAATGAGGGATGTTGTGGTACAATTGTGTATCTTACTGTATCCTTTTTTTTTTTTTTTTTTTTTTTTTTTTTGCTTCAGAGTCTTACTCTGTCTCTCAGGCTGGAGTGCAGTGGCGAGATCTCGGCTCACCATAACCTCCGAATCCTGGGTTCAAGCGATTCTCTTGCCTCAGCCTCCCAAGTAGCTGGGATTACAGGTGCTCACACAGGTGCTCACTACCATACCTAGTTAATTTTTTTTATTTTTACTAGAGACAGGGTTTCACCATGTTGGCCAGGCTGGTCTCAAATTCCTGACATCAGGTGATCCACCGCCTCGGCCTCCCAAGGTGCTGGGATTACAGGTGTGGGCCACCACACCTGGCTACAATCTTTTCTGTTGGGGTTTGTACATTCTGTGTTTTGTTTAAAAAATACTTCCCATCTGGAGAACATAAACATATTTTCCTATGCTTTCTTCTAAAAATAAGACTTTCACATTTAACATTTAGGTATTTAAACCATCTGGAAATTATTTTGGGCATGATGTGGGATTGTACTTACTTATTTTTCTATATGGGAAACCAATTTCCCATTATCCCATGGACCATCCTTTTACCAGGTAGCAAAATAGAAATACTTTGTTTGTTTTTGCACAATGTTTTAAATTTAAAAGTTATTATAATAATGGTTTTGTTTATTGGTTTGTTTCTTCATTTTCTACATATTACCTGTATAGTTATACCTAATTAAACACTGAATTCTATACCAATTCAATAAATCTGCTCTCAAGATATTCTAGAATCTTCTTGAGTGTTCTAGTTCAGACTGTTTGCCCTCTGCCTGGAGTCAGCAGTCAACCCTAGGATTTTCTTTCACCTATCCTGGGGATTCCCTTGCCTTTCTCCAGTGTGGGATTGACAGTTTCCCATGTCTTTCTCTCTCTCTCTCTCTCTCTCTCTCTCTCTCTCTCTCTGTCTCTCTCTCTTTTAGAAGCAGAATCTTCTCTCTATTTTTTTTAGAAGCAGAATGTCTGAAGTGATCCTATGTCTTTCTCTTTCTTGACTTACTTCTTTTTTTGGTGAAACACATTCTCAAGTAGTTTTCTGAGAATGGGACCATATGAAATAAATTCTTGAGGCCTTCAAGGTTCTACAATTTTTCCTCAACTTATTTAGATGTGGAATTTTTAAAAAAGTTATGCTGTTGAGACTTTCACTTCCTGGCTCTAAGTATTCATGTCTTTATATATATATATATATATATATATATATATATATATATATATATATATGTGTGTGTGTGTGTGTGTGTGTGTGTGTGTGTGTGTGTGTGTACACATATGTTTAAATTCTGAATAATTCTTAATCTCATCTCTTCAAATATTGCCTTTCCTCACTCTTTCCATTCTTGCCATCAGAACTCCTGTTTGTTACATGGACCTTTTTCTTTCAATAATCATATCCCTTAAATTCTCTCTCATTTTTTCCATGCTTTTCTGTGTTTAGGAGTCTGAATAATTTTTTCAGCCCTATCTGCCCCTTTACTAGTTCTCTTTCCTAAACGTTTGTTTAATCTATTCTGTTTTTAATTTCAAAGACCAAATTTTTAATTTCTGTGAATTCTATTTTGGTACTTTTTTTTTTTTTGAGACAGTCTCGCTCTGTCACCCAAGTGCAGTGGTGAAATCTTGGCTCACTACAACTTCCACCTCCTGGACTCAAGTGATCCTCCCACTTCAGCCTCCTGAGTAGCTGGGACCATAGGCATGTGCCACCATGCCTGACTAATTTTAAAAAAGTTTTTTTTTCTGGCTGGGTGTGGTGGCTCTTGACTGTAATTCCAGCACTTTGAGAGGCCAAGGTGGGTGGATCACCTGAGGTCAGGAGTTCGAGACCAGCCTGACCAACATGGAAAACCCCCGTCGCTACTAAAAATACAAAATTAGCCAGGCATGGTGGCTCCTGCCTGTAATCCCAGCTACTCTGGAGGCTGAGGCAGGAGAATTGCTTGAACCCAGGAAGTGGAGGTTGCGGTGAGCCAAGATTGTGCCATTGCACTCCAGCCTGGGTAACAAGAGCAAAACTCCATTTCAAAAAACAAAAAAAAGTTTTTTTTGTAGAAATAAAGTCTCACTATGTTGCCCAGGCTGGTCTTGAACTCCTGGTCTCAAGCAAGCCTCTTGCCTTGGCCTCCCAAAATTCTGGGATTACAGACATGAGCCACTGTGCCCAGCCCTAATGATACTTGTAAAACATTATACAGGTCTCTATTTTTTGTCCTAGTGTCTTTCCTCTTTCTCCATTTCTGTTTTGTCCTGTATCTGACTGGTTGGTTATCTGATACTCTTGGGATCTACTCCTGCTCTTGTTATTTCTGCTGGTACTCACAGGGGCCTTCTTATAACTTTTGATTCCAAACTTATCTTCAGGACATGGTTCTCTGTGGTCTAGGGTAAAGGCATGTCTTTCTGGAAACATTTTCTTTTGTTATGGCCACTCAGAATCCAGGATTTCTTTGTGTGTAAATTTCTCAGCTTTGGGCCATTTGGACCACACGTGTAGCATTGATTTGAAGCTAAACCCAGTGAAGGCAGGTCTGTTGTTATGAATTTGTGTTATGAAGGAGAGATCTTTTTTCCTCGCCCAGAACCCAAGCCAGGATGACCTGTTGTCATCTTCTGTGCAGACAGCTGCATGTTTTTTTTTTTCCTGATCCACCATTTCACTGAAGTCCTTGTTGGGGGAGGGGACAGTCCTGTGAAGGAGCTTGTCTCCTGTTCCTGCCTGGGCACTCATGCCCAAGTCTCTGGTTCACTGAGCTTCAAATGCTCTCTTCCCTGCCCACCCCTCTACTTGGGGCCACAGCTGCATCAGCTCAGCTGCTCCCCACTCTAGTTTTCAATTCCCTGTTTGAGGGCCCTAGTGATTTCTTTTCCTCTCTTACAAGCTCTGACATGCAATTAAAAGGAGTTTATTATAGCTGATCTAGCATCCCTGTGTTTTGTGACAGGAAGGTTTTTCAGATGATCTTGTCCATGGTATTGCCCTTGACACTTTATTATTGTTACTACTTTTTTGAGATGGGGTCTTCCTCTGTCCCCCAGGATGGAGTGCAATGGCACAATGTCAGCTCACTGCAACCTCCACCTCCCGGGTTCAAGCGATTCTCTTGCCTCAGCCTCCCAAGTAGCTGGGATTACAGGTGTGTGCCACCACGACCAGCTAATTTTTGTATTTTTAGTAGAGATGTGGTGCCACACTGGTCTTGAACTCGCGACCTCAGGTGATCCACCCACTTTGGCCTCCCAAAATGATGATATTACAGGCATGAGCCACCACTCTCGGCCTGTTGATACTTTAAAAGTTAGAGATAAAGGATTGTAGGAATTTCAGAGAAGAAAAGTGGAGCTGGTGGGAGTGAGAAAATGAGGGGAGGATTAAGAGCGGCCTTAAAAAGGTGACTGTTAGGGGATAGGAACACAGGAAGGGGCACAGCAGGTACAGAAGCAGGAAATGCCAATGCAGGTATAGAGAAGAGCACTCAACTCTCCGCTGCAGTACAACCTGTGAAGGGGAAATGAAGTTGGAGCCTGGAGTACAGTCTGTGAAGGGGAAATGAGGTTGGAATCAGATCACTGAGCAGCAGGAAGCTACTAAAGTCTTACAGTGCATACCGTGCCGTGATCAGAAGCTTCGTTTCAGGGAGTTTAAACTGGAAGCATGTCCAGGAAGAACGGGTGTGGGGGTGGCAGGAGAGGAGTGTGGATTCGGAAGGAGGGCTCTGGAGGCTGTGGAAATAGTACAGGAGATGGGTAGTAAGGCCTGAATGGGGTAGCTGGTGGGGTGGGGTGTAGGGGGACCACTGGGAGAGGGTGAAAGAGATTCAGCTGCACTAGATAAAGAAATCTAGGTCAAGAGCTGAATTGGAAATAGAAGAAAAGCCAGGCAAGCACATTGTCTGAATCCTGGGAAATGAATTTAAAATATCAATAATTGTTTATTTTTTTAATTATTATTATTATTTTTTGAAACAGAGTCTCGCTCTGTCGCCCAGGCTGGAGTGCAGTGGCATGATCTTGGTTCACAGCAACCTCTGGCTCCCAGGTTCAAGTGATTCTCCTGCCGCAGTGTACTCAAGTAGCTGGGATCACAGGTGCCTGCTACCATGTCTGGTTAATTTTTGTTGTTGTTGTTGTTGGAGTCTTGCTCTGTCGCTAGGCTGGAGTGGTGCACTCTCGGCTCACTACAACCTCTGCCTCCCGGGTTCTAGCAATTTTCCTGCCTCAGCCTTGCACGCCACCACTCCCAGCTAATTTTTGTATTTTTCAGTAGAGATGGGGTTTCACCATATTGGCCAGGATGGTCTTGATCTCTTGACCTCATAATCCGCCCGCCTCAGCCTCCCAAAGTGCTGGAATTATAGGCATGAGCCACCGCGCTCAGCCATTTTGGTATTTTTGGTAGAGATGGGATTTCACCATGTTGGCCAGGCTGGTCTTGAACTCTGGCCCTCAGATGATCCACCCACCTTGGCCTCTCAAAGTGCTAGGATTACAGGTGTGAGCCACCACCTAAAATGTCAAGAATTATCAGAGCTGTTACCTACCTTTCAATATTGTTCAGATATTGCCTACAAATGCTAATAAACAGTTCATTTGACTCTGTTTGCAGCTCACGATATTTTCAGGCTTCTTGATGAGTAATTGTCATTGAATTAGAGACAGTATGTCCCAGTAAATCTTCAGTGAGTAGGGATGGTTTTGCTTTTCCTAGAACCTGCTGACATGGCCAAGCATGGAGCGGACGAGCCATCCTCCAGGTCAGGGAGTCCGGACGGGGAAGACAGGGCCTCTGAGGACAGATCGCTGCTTCATCAGAGGCTGGCTGTCCAGGAGCTCATCGACACCGAGGTCTCCTACTTGCACATGCTCCATCTCTGTGCCTCTGACATCAGGAGCCGCCTCCAGCAGGTAACTTGGGTGGGGTCACACACAGCCTGTCTTTATAGGGGCAAATGTGGTTCTCAGCTTCTGAGACTTCCCATCCATTCCTGGGGCAAGCCTGATAGAAAGGAAGCATGGTGTTTGTGAAGTCTGACAGACCTGGATGGAAACTCCAGTGCTTCCATTCATTGGCCATGCAACCTCCAGCAAGGCCTTCCAGGCTGAGTCTTAGCGTATTCCTCAGCTAACTGGGGAGAATAATCACCTGGCAGAACTATGTGAGCTAATGAACAAGCCCGTTTCAAGTTTGGAATAGATTGCTTGAACTGACCTATATTCTTCTTCTTCTTCTTCTCCTCCTCCTTCTCCTTCTTTTTCTTCTTCTTTTTCCTGTTTCCCCTTCAAAGTTCTCTTTATTCAATCTGCAAAGTCACTGTCAGCAACTTGGCCTGGCTCTCTGTGGCTTCCAACAAGGAAATGCTTAAAAGTCAGGAAATGCATTTGGTGCCTCTCCTAGTACCAAAAATTGACTACGGCCTCTTTGGGCACCCTGAAATAAATCAATAGCATTTGCTTTTTTTTTTTTTTTTTTTAACTTTTCTACCAGAATTTCAAAAAAAAAATCTCTATTATATATATGTATATATGTGTGTGTGTGTGTGTGTGTATAAACAATATTTATAGACACGCATACATATATAGAGAGATCCTTCAACCAAGAAGAGGAAAGGGACCCAGCGTCCTCTGGGGTGCCCCTTGGCCTGGTGCAGAAAGGCCAGGAGGCACTAGCTGTCTTGGGAATCATCTCGAGATGTGTAGTGCTGAGCTGATGTGGCATGGATGGGGGGTCTCCAACAGCCCTCACCCTCTAAAGAAGGTGGAGCTATGACAAACCAGGGCAGCCCTCACTCAAGCATTCCACACATCCTGAAATGCAAGCTGTACCTGATGGAGCCTTGAAACTAAAACCCAAAGTGCAGATACAACAGGATTCCCTGCTAGGCCTCTGGGGGACTGGCTCCTTAGGGAAGAGTTCCAAGAGTGTCAAGCAGCAGGGGCTGGAGGAGCCAGCAGGGAGGACATATGCCTACAGCTCCCAGGCCCAGAAGATAGGTGTCATGGACACAGAGGCCTGTTCAGCCACAGGAGAGGGGCTGGGCTCTGTCCCCTCTTCCGGTTTCCAACCACAGCCCCTGCAGACCTTCAGGCAGAGGAGCCCAAAAGGCCAGGGCGAGACTCCAATTACCCAGGAAACCTGGAGGCAAACTTTTTTTTTTTTTTTTAAAAAGATGAGGTCTCACTGCATTGCTCAGTCTGGTCCAGGCTCAAGTGATCCTCCCATCTCAGCCTCCCAGGGCAGACTCCTGATTAGCTAGGATCACAAGCACGTGCCACCACACCCAGCCATGACCTGCATTCTAATTGTCTTATTTGCAGTGTGGTGACATGAAGAAATTATCACTATGAGGGTTTCTATTATAGTGCTCACTTTTTACATTTTCTTTTTCTGGTTTCAGAAATCATGCAGGCTCTTGCTTGCTACATTTCAAGCATCTCCTCACATTTGAGCTCCATTAGGGCAAAGATTCTATTTAGTTCAGTATATCCCAGTCATGACAGATAAATAATGGACTTAAAATTAGTCTTTCTTCAATGAATGAAATACCAAAGTAGACAATGTAGAAAGTGAAGTACTTGTTTTATTTTACCCTCCAGAAATTAGAATTTTTCTCCATAGGCATTAAACAAACAAATACAGTCGTATGTCACATAACACCAGGGATATGTTTTGAGAAATTCGTAGTTAGGCAATTCATCATGTGCAAAGGTCACAGAGTGCACTTACACAAACCTAGATGGTATAGCCAATGGCACACCCAGGCTGGATGGTATGGCCCATTGCTTCTAGGCTATAAATCTGTACAGCATGTCACTGTCCTGAATACTAAGGCAACTGCAACGCAATAGTATTTGTGTATCTAAACACAGAAAAGGTAGAGTGAAAATAGGATATAATCCTATGAGATCACCCTGGTAGATGCAGTCCATCATTGATCAAAATGTTATGCAGTACATGACTGTATATATTGTTATTTATTTTAACAAAAACAAGAGCATACTCTAGATATTATTCTGTGGTTAGCTTTCCCACTTGTGCGTCCAGCCCATCCTTCCATGCTTGTGCATTTATATAGACGTCCTGCATCTTTTTAAACAGTGGTACATACCAGGCGTATAGCCTGGTTAATAGGAGCTGGAGAATGCATCTTGAGGTCATGGTGGTTGGTGCCAGGTATGTCAGCTCTGGAAAGAAGTCTGACTTCTCACCCTCAGATGACAGATGGGGAAACTGAGAGAAGATAGCTGGCAGCAGACCTGGGCTAAAACTCTGGTTCAGCTTTCCTTCCACACTGTACTCCATCTCTTCCTCTCTTCTTGTGGAGTAATGAAAATACTGGATTTATAACATTTCAAAATCCTTGCAAAATTCCACTGGGGCAACCAGTCTTCTCCAGAGTGATGGGAATGGTGTGAGTGTTCTGTTCTACTCTTGAAAGCCTGTAAATATACTCCATGGAATGCCCAATGACCACCCATGGCTTCTTTGTTCCTTCCAGTTGCCGCAGGGAGATCTGGATGTTTTGTTCTCAAACATTGATGATATCATCAAGGTGAACAGCAGATTCCTTCATGATCTGCAGGAGACAGCCTCCAAGAAAGAGGAACAAGTGCAGCTAGTTGGTAAGCAAAAAAACCTAAAGAATTGTCAGCCTTAGAATTGTTCTGTGAGTGGTCCCTGTTTAACTGTCTCCAGAGTTCCAGGGAAATGCAGCTCAATGGCAGTCTGTTTAGGGGATCTCCAAAACACAATGTAACAGAGCCAGCAGGGCCCTCAAATAATATCTAGTCCAGTCCCATCGCTTTACAGACAGAGACTGAGCCCCAGAGACAGAGAGGATTATGGATTATGAAGGGGTGGTAAGAATGGAAGCAGTGACACTAGCTGGGGCCTTTACTGTGGCCCAGATGAGAAATGAGGAGAGTCTCCTTTCAATTTTTTTTTTTTGAGATGGGATCTCAATCTGTTGCCCAGGCTAGAGTACAATGGAAAAATCATGACTCACTGCAGCCTCTACCTTCCAGCCTCAAGGATCTTCCTGCCTTAGCCTCCCAAGGAGGATAGTCTCCTCACAGTCACATAATTGTTAACGAAGCAGCTAAATCTTTAGTCTGTGTCTCTTTCACATTCATTCATCCAATAGTTATTTACTGAGCAATTGCAGTGTGTAGTCACAGGGTCAACAAGAGAGCCCGGGCTTCTATTCTCATGCGGTTGACAAGTTAGTGAGAGAGACAGAAGATAGACAACAGAATTGTAGGTAATAATTTGTAATTTGAAGGAAATAAATAGTTGTGGTAACTTCTGGGTATGAGGGAAGGCCACTGGAGGAGGGAACATATGAGCTGAGATCTGAGTGTTAGGAAGGAGTTAGCCTTGGGAATATCTGGAGGGAGACTAGAGAGCATAGTTGTGCAAAGGCCCTGAGGCAAGGATGAGCTGAGAATGTTTAAAGGACAGACAATAGGTTGATGTGGCTCCAGGAAAATTAGTGAGAGGAGACTGTTAGGGGATAAGACAGAAGAGGCACACAAAGACCAGATCATGCACAGCTTTGTAGGTCATGGCAAGGAGTTTGGAGTTATTCTAACTGTGATAAGGAGCCATTGAGTGAGGAAGTGACATAGTTTGATTTATGTTTTTCAAAGATCTCTTTGGCTGTTGTGGACAATGGATTATGAAGGGGTGGTAAGAATGGAAGCAGTGACACTAGCTGGGGCCTTTACTGTGGCTCAGATGAGAAATGAGAGTCTCCTTTCAATTTTTTTTTTTTTTGAGATGGGATCTCAATCTGTTGCCCAGGCTAGAGTACAATGGAAAAATCGTGGCTCACTGCAGCCTCTACCTTCCAGCCTCAAGGATCTTCCTGCCTTAGCCTCCCAAGGAGGATAGTCTCCTCATTCTGAAATGGTTAGGATGCCCAGAGCAGAAAGAAGGGAGGAGTGGGTGCAAACCTCATACCTGTCTCCTTCTGTCTCATCCCATCTGCTGCCAGAATTCTCATGGTGTGGGGTTTACTAGTGGAGTCAGGAGATAAAGGTGAACGGGTGGGTACCAGATTCACTACAGTGGCAGGGAGGAGGAAATGAAGGTACTCAGTGCTGTGGCCACCCAAGTCCCCCTGGCTTTTACACCACCAATCTTCTACCCGATCCTGGACATGAATGATGAGGATGGGGATTAAAAATAACAAATATGCAAAAAATACATATACATCTTTTTTTGAGATGGAATCTCACTCTGTCACCCAGGCTAGAATGCAATGGCACTATCTCAGCTCACTGGAACCTCTGCCTCCTGGGTTCAAGTGATTCTCCTGTCTCCTGAGTAACTGGGATTATGGGTGCCTGCCTCCATGCCCAGTTAATTTTTGTATTTTTAGTAAAGATGGGGTTTCACCATATTGGCCATGCTAGTTTTGAACTCCTGACTTCAGGTGATCCTCCTGCCTCGACCTCCCAAAATGCTGGGATTATAAGCATGAGCCACTGCGCCTGGCCTAAATATACAAACAAATCTTAAAAACCTACTTTCTGAGGGTTTACAAAATGCTAACCACTGTTGTTATGCACATATATTAATTCGCTTCATCTCAAAATAACTCTGAAAGGTAGATACCATTATTCATTTTACAGTTGAGGAATCTTTGGCACAGAGAGAGGCAATAACCTGCTTAAAGTCACACAGCTAGGGGCAGAGCCAGGATTTGAACGCAGGTGGTTGGCCTTGAGAGTCAAGGCTTTCAACTGCTACACTGAATTGCTTCTGCATGGTAGAAGGTGAGAATAAAGCCTGTGTGTATCATGTTTATTATTCCTTTGAAAATATAGTTCTTTATTAAAATAGCAATGAGTGAGTTACTATTCCCTGTAAATGATAAAGGAATGCAAAATTAAAGAATAAGATTTTTAAAGGTACCTGTAGATCAGGCATGGTGGCTCATGGCTGTAATTCCCGCACTTTGGGAGGCTGAGGTGGGCAGATCACTTGAGGTCAGGAGTTCAAGACCCCCCTGGCTAACGTGGTGAAACCCCATCTCTACTAAAAATACAAAAATTAGCCAGGCGTGGTGGCACACACTTGTAATCCCAGCTACTTGGGAGGCTGAGGCATGAGAATCTCTTGAACCCAGGAGGCAGAGGTTGCAGTGAGCTGAGATCATGCCACTGCACTTCAGCCTGGGTGACAGAGTGACTCTGTCTCAAAAATAAAAAAAGTGCCTGTAAATGTTCTCACAAATACTTTCTCTTTTATAATTTGATCATTATTTCTGTTAATAATTAACACTTACTTGAGTGGAAATTGATATAGCCTCAGGCTGAAAACATTCTAAGGATCTGAGGACTTGGAGCTCAGGCTCTTCCACAGCTGCGTGTTTGGGATTCGATGTGGTTTCTTGTAAAGGTCCTCACTTCTCAGTCTGCCTTCCTGCTGGACCCACAGAGCCAGGATGCTACTTCATCTCCTGATCACACCTGGTGATGTCTCCATGGACTGCCCTCAGTGCTTCGCTGTAAAGTTTCCAGATAAAATATAGGATGCTCAGTTAAATTTAAGTATCAGTATGTCCCAAATGTTGCATGAGATAATGCTTATGTTAAAAAATTATTCATTGTTTATCTAAAATTCAAATTTTACAGAGCATCCTGTACTCCTCTCTCCTGCAAATTTGGCAGTCCTGTTCCCTGGCCTTTACAGAGTCTTCAGAAAATCCCCTCCTCATCCCTTGTCTCTTGTGGTTGCCAAAAAGAGGCCCAAATAACCCACATAGCTTTTCTTCTCCTCAGTGCAGCTGTGTGCTAGGTTAGGCTGCCCTGGCCCCTTCTCGCTCGCTCTCTGTTCCCTTTCTAGGCCCTAGGCCTTGCTATGCAAGGAGAGGCCTTTACCCAGCAGGACAGCAACAGAAATTTTCGTTTGTTTTGAGACAGAGTCTCCCTCTGTCACACAGGCTGGAGTACAGTGGTGTGATCCTCAGCTTACTGTCACCTCCGCTTCTTGGGTTCAAGAGATTCTCATGTCTCAGCCTCCCGGGTAATTGGGATTACAGGTATATGCTAGCACACTTGGCTAATTGTGTAGTTTTAGTAGAGACTGGCTTTCACCATGTAGGCCAGGCTGATTGCAAATTCTTGGCTTAGCAATAGCATTTTGAAAGACTTTTGGGAGGCTGGGCATGGTGGCTCACACCTGTAATCCCAACACTTTGGGAGGCTGAGGCGGGTGGATCACCAGGTCAGGAGTTAGAGACCAGACTGGCCAACACAGTGAAACCCCATCTGTACTAAAACTACACAAATTAGTCGGGCATGGCGTTGAACACCTCTAGTCCTAGCTACTTGGGAGGCTGTGTCAGGAAAATTGCTTGAACCCAGGAGTTGGAGGTTGAAGAGAGCTGAAACTATGCCACTGCACTCCAGTCTAGGCAACAGAGTGAGACTCTCTCAAAAAAAAAAAAAAGGAAATATGACATAAGCTACAAATATTTAAAATTTTCAAGTAGCTACATTAAGAAAATTAAGAAAATTAAAGCAGCAACTGATTTCAATGATAACTTTTATTTAACTCAATATGTCCAAAATAATATTGCAACTTGTAATCAGTATAAACATTCGTCGTTTGTTACTTTTGTTTCGTATGAACTCTTTTTGCAATACAGTATCTTTTACACTGACAGCACATCTCCTCTGGGGTTTACATATTTCAAGTGCTGGGGACTACTGTGTTTGAGCACTGCAGTTCTAGTGACTACAGCAGGAGTTCTGGAATCTAACAGGGCCCTGCCACCCACAAGCTCTTTCCTTTCTCTGAGTCCCAGTTACTGCCACCTTAAAATGAGCGTGAAAATAGTATCCATCTCTTTGCCAACAATGATGCAGCATACTTAACATGAAGTAGCTCTTTGAATTCTCATAACATCATTATTTCTTGATTATTATTAATAACGTCCATTTTACCGAAGACATCTCTCAGGCTCAGAGAGGCTAAGTAACTTTCCCGAGGTCACATAGCTTGACCAGGCAGAGTTAGTATTTGAACCCAGCTATTCTAGAGCCCTAGGTCTTGACCATCCTGCCTCCCCTCCTCTCCATTCTGACTAACCTCAGCTAAACGGTCCCTTCGATGCTAGGAACAAATTGTTTGCTAACCTGTGACTATTGAAGGACAAGCAGGGAGGAAACGAGCCTTTCCTTTGTTGTAATGGGCGTTCTTGCCTCTTTGGACCACTCTGCTCTCTGGGAGTTCACTTTCCTCCATCCTTTAGTTAATGAAACACCCTTGCCTCTGGCCACACTGGTATGACACAGTTTCCTTGGCATGTCTGACTCATTCCTGAGGACTTGCCCATGTTGAGGAGAGTGTGGGAACCGCCCTAGGTTTCACGGTCATGCCACACTATCTCCTGGCGTGGCCATCTCTGCAGTTGGCTAATCTCCCTCTCACACAGCTTCTTCCTGGCTGCAGTTTCGGGGTGGTCATGTTCTGCCCGGCTCTAAGGGCTTCACCTGGAAGTCCTTGCTAGGCATCAGCTGACCCGACACTGGGAAAGGGTAGGCCCTAGGACAGCAATCTCCCCGTGGGGATCTTTGCTGAGAGCTGGACCATGCACCTCTGGCCACCCACTGATGGGTCCCAACACGGACCTGACCTAGATCACAGGTCCAGCACATGGCTTTAGTAGGGTCAGCTGGGCTTCCTGTGGTCCCTGGTTCCCCACCTGCCCTCTTGTGGTTAATATGTTTTTCTTTACCCTCACCACTTCCTCTCAAGTCCATCCACCCTTTACAGGTAACTAATCTCGTTAGTTTCTGATTTGAAAATATGAAACACTTTGCAAATTTGCATGTCATTTTTGCAGAGGTGCCATGCTAATCTCTGTGTTGTTTCAACTTTGGTTTATGTGACTATAGCTACCATTTAGTAAGTGCTCACAGTGTCCCAGCCTAAGCTATATATCATTCTGTCACTCAATCCTTAGAACAACCTTGTAGAAAGATGGAAAAAACCAGAAAGTCAGGAAGTGAGGTCGTTTGCCCATGGTAACATGGTGGTGAGCCCAGCAATCTCACTGGAGAGCTGGAGGGGTTTATTTACTGCCTCCCTGTTCCAAGCTAGGGGATGCACAGACATGCCCTTGATGACTCCTTGTGCATGTTAACCCTCAGGTAACTTATTTCTGGAATTCCAAGAGGAGTTGGAACAAGTCTATAAGATCTACTGTGCCAGCTACGACCAGGCCTTGCTATTGGTGGAGATGTACCGGAAGGAGCCGGAGCTGCAGCAGCACATCCAGGGCATCATTAAGGCAGTGGTGTGAGTAGAACAGCCAGTAAGCACTCGCTCCTGCCCCACTGACCCGGGTCACAGCAGCTACAGTCTCCCCCTGACTTTATGCCATTCATGCTGCTTCAGGAGTGTACCTCGATCAGCGCCTGTGTCAGTCAGGATAGGGCAGGCTGTGCTGCAGAGACAAACAGCTCCCACATCTCAGTGGTTTCAGACAGCAAAGGTTTATGTCTTCCTTAGGCTCCACTGCAGGCTGACCTGGGACTCTGCTCCTTGTCATCCTCACTCTGGGACCCAAACTCACAGCAGTCACTGTCTGGAATATTGCTAGTAACTGTGGCTTAAGAAAAAACAGCTCTGGAGAATCTAATGCTGGCAATTGAATGCTCTGGTTCAGAAATAATATTCATCACTTCTCATAATTCATTGACCAAAACTATTCATAGCTTCCTTCAACAACCAGGAGGCAGGGCATGCCATCCTACCACATGTCCAGGGTTGGAGAAGCAGCAACACTTGGGAACAGTGCTCATGACTAGCACAGGAAAGGGCAGTGAGATGAGGGGACCCGTGTGTTCCCATAGAGATAGGAAGCAGGTGTGTATCACCTGAGAATCCCTCTCTACCAGTGGCTGAAGTCCTGCCATATGGAAAAGGGACAGTATCACCAGTCCCTGGTGAACTCACAGCCTAGAAGTAGCACCAATGGGTAGAAGCCCCAGGTAGAAAGATGTAGAGAATATGTCTTTAAATTTAGATTTTTGAATAGGTAACATGATTACATGATTCAAAAACTTTAAAACATCAAAATTTTTAGAATAAAAACCGTCTTCCCAGTGCTGTCCCTTCATCTACCCAATTACTGCTTCCAAAGTTAAGGTAACCGCATCTAAATTTCTTATGTATATCTTTGCAGAGTTTCTTTTTGCATATGCAAACAATGATAAATATATATTCTTGGCCAGGTGCGGTGACCCACACCTGTAATCTCAGCACTTTGGAGGGCTGAGGTAGGCAGATTGCTTCAGCTCAGGAATTTGAGACCAGTCTGGGCAACATGGCGAGAACCCAACTCTACCAAAAAAAATTAGCCTGGTGCGGTTGCATGCACCTTTAGTCCCAGCTACTTGGGAGGCTGAGGTGGGAAATTGGCTTAAGCCCAGAAGGCAGAGGCTGCAGTGAGCTGAGATTGTGCCACTGTACTCCAGCCTGGGTGACAGAGCCAGACCTTGTTTTAAAAAAACCCCAAAACTTCATATTTATATATACTCTTGTTTTTATGCCTTTTAAATGAAGGGAGTATATTTTTTTCTTTTTGAGACAGGGTCTAACTCTGTTACCCAGGCTGGAGTACAGTGGTATGATATCAGCTCACTGCAACCTCCACCTCCTGGGTTCAAGTGATTTTCCCACCTCAGCCTCCCTAGTAGCTGGGACTATAGGCTTGCACCACGATGCCCGGCTCATTTTTTTTTTTGTATTTTTGGTAGAGATGGGGTTTTACCATATTGTCCAGTCTGGTCTTGAACTCCTGGGCTCAACTGATCCGCCTGCCTCAGCCTCCCAAAGTATTGAGATTATAGGCATGAGCCACTGCACCCTGGCTGAAAGTAGTATCTTTTTAATTTTATTTATGTGTGTGTGTGTGTGTACATGTATGTATGTGTATATATATATATCGGAGGTCTTTTCATTTCCACACTGGCATTCATAATTATTTGAATGGCAGGCCACATGCTCTTCCACTAGGTGGCCGTTCCACAGTTTATTTAGCTGGTCTGTATTGAGGGGAATTTGGTTTGTTTCTGTTCTTTTTATATTACAGACAGTGCTGCAGTGTTTATTCATGACCATGTGTTGAGTGACATACATCTGTAAGGTAGATTTCCAGAAGCGGAATCGCTGGGTCAAAGGAAATACGTATTGATAATTTGGGTTAACTTCAGCAGATTTCCCTCTATGAAGGCTACGTCAGTTCACATTTCCATCAACAGTATGTGAGCCCGTGTGTTTCCCCACAGCCTCACTACAGTGTGTTATCAGACTTCAGAATATTTGCTCCTGCAATGGATTAAAAGTGTTGTCTCTATATGGTTTCATTTTGCATTTATCTTATTATTAAAGATATCCAATCATCATCAGATAAATGATTAAAGATATCTTCTTATTTAAGAGTCATTTGTATATCCTTTCCTGTGAATTGTTTTGCTTCTTTTCTTTGAGACAAAGTCTCGCTCTGTTGCCCAGGCTGGAGTGCAGTGGCATGATCTTGGCTCACCCCAACCTCTGCGATTCTCCTGCCTCAGCCTCCCAAGTAGCTGGGACTACAGGCGCGTGCCACCACGCCCGTCTAATTTTTGTATTTTTTAGTAGAGACAGGGTTTCGTCCTATTGGCCAGGGCTGGTCTTGAACTCCTGAACTCATGATCTGCCCACTTCAGCCTTCCAAAGTGCTGGGCTTACAAGCATGACAGGTGTGAGCCACCTCACCCAGCCCTTGTGTTTTAAAGAAGGTTATATCTTCCCCAGGACAAGCTCACCAAAGGAAGATAGATGAAGGTCATTTTCTGGAAATCTGAATAGTATGGGAAAAGCAGAAGTCATCATTCTTATCATCGTGATTAATTTATCTACTCAGACATCCCTTTTATATCCAAGAGACAGTGTGGACTGAGGTCTGTGAAGGCAAGATATCCCATGTGGAGTCCCCTGCTACCTCCCCTCCTCCTCTTCCTCAGGTTTTTCTCACTCTTTAATCCCCTCTTTCCCCTAAGTCTCCTCTCAAGAACCCGTGTCCTAGCCCCTCTCTGCTTCCAAAACACCAACACTCATTTTCTCCCTTTATTCGTCCCTTCATGGGTCTTACCAACAGGCTTCCGCGAGGTCACTAGATAGGTTCCTATAGTTTACAGATATAAGGAAAGCAAGGTGCCAGACATGAAACAAAAGGAAGTGGAGGCTGCGCAAGCTGGAGCCAACAGGCCCTGTGTGGCGTGCAGCTGCAGCACGACCTCAGCTGATTGCTGCTACATCAAGTGGCTTTTGTTAGATAACAAACCACCCCACAATGTAGTGGCGTAAAACAAACATTTATTTAGCTCAAACTTCTGCATATTAGCAATTTAGCTGTACTCAGTAAATGATTCTCCTGGAATCTTTAGCACCCTCAAATATCTCCAGTCACCCACAGGTCAGCTTTGCTGATCCTGGCTGGGTTTTTTCATATCATCTAAGACACATGAGCTGACTTACCCATGGCCCCATGGCCTCTCTTCTTCCTGCAATCTAGCTTATTCACATAGTGGTCTCAAGGTTCTAAGGACAGTGGGGAGGGCTTGGCTTCTAGAGGTCTTAGCTGGAATCTGGCACATCGTCATTCAAATTAAGTCCTAAGAGCAGCCCATACTCGAGGAATGGGGAAATAAACTCCATTTCTTGGTGGCAGGAGCTTAAAAACAAAGACTTGTAGAGATTAGGTGAGGAATAATTGCAGTGATTTTTCTTTTGCAAACCTTCTACCTCAGCTGCCATGTAAGAATGAAGGTCCACTGTGGCTAGAGCCTCTGATTTTTTAAGAGAAGCCAGAAACTTAGATGTAACATCTCCCAAGAGTTCAGTGCTGGCATCTAGCTCAGACATTTAATAAGCACTGTGTGTGTAAGTCCTAGTTGGCTCAGAGGCTGCTGTTCATTACATCCTCTGCACTTAGGTCTTTCCTAGCCAGGCCAGCTGGACTTTGCTCATGGATTCTGGAGCCAGGCTACATGGTGGTGGGTGTGGCTTGGCCCCTGGCCATGAGAGAGCCATTTTATGTCTCAGGACCTAGTTTCCTCATGTGTACTGTGGGAGGAATAACAGCCCCACGTGGGGCATTGATTCATTGCACACAAGTGACACTCAGTGAATCCCAGGTATTATATTTACCTTGGCTACGCAGGGATTCTATTTTCTCTGAGACCACACTGTAGTGCTCAATTTTATCAGTGCCATGCTCCCTTGTTATATCAAAGATTGCATGAATTTATTATCCTAACACATCCTGAAATATATTGTCTCCTACCTATATTTGTAACTGAAAAAAATCAATATAATAGCTTAACTATAAAGGAGAAATAAAAGGAAAGTCATTTGTTTTTTAACTTTCTGTTGATTTGCAATTTTTTTTTTTCTTTTTTTTTGTGTGGGGGAATGGAGTCTCACTCTGTCACCCAGGCTGGAGTGTAATGGCGCAATCTCAGCTCACTTCAGCCTCTGCCTCCCAGGTTCAAGTGATTCTCCTGCCTCAGCCTCCTGAGTATCTGGAACTACAGGCATGTGCCTCCACTCCTGGCTAATATTTGTATTTTTAGTAGAGACGGGGTTTCACTATGTTGGTCAGGATGGTCTCAAACTCCTGACCTCAGGTGATCTACCTCCCTCAGCCTCCCAGAGTGCTGGATTACAAGCATGAGCCACTGCGCCTGGCCAGGAAAACCATTTCTTATAAAATGCTGTATATTTCAATGTGTATATGCTTGGACACCACTGCTAAAAGATATAGTGAAATCCATCAGATGCTTGCAACTACTTATAATAAATAAGTTTGGATTTAAGAAAAGAGATATCTGAAGCTGTTCTGTACAAAAAGTACAGAAAAATGAAAGAATGAAAAGGCAGAGAATATGTATACCCTAGAAAATAAACCTGACTTCTTTGTTTATGATAAGAGAAAGAAGGAGATAACACCATTGAAAAGGGGATTTATAAAAGGTAGTGTCATGGTAATTCCCATAGAGTCCAAGTGTGACAAACATATTTAGGTTCTTAGAAGTGCAGCACGTTTCATGGCCTTTATTCAGTCTCTGAATGTTCAGGGGGGCATATGAGACATGGAACAATTTTCTGTAGTTCAAGACTGTCCTTGCAAGACATCCAGTGTACCTGGTTCGTGCCCACTAAATGCCTGTGGCATTACTTTCCAGAGCCTGGCCAAGAAGAATCACCACACCAGCCATAACTAGTTCTTTCTCAGTCTGCTAGGATAGGTGGCACCAGCTTATTAGATTCCTTGGGATTCCAAAATGCATGCTGCTTCACCCTTTATTTGGGTGGGATGTTCATTCATTTTTTTTTTTTTTTTTTTGAGGCAGAGTTTTTGCTCTTGTTGCCCATGCTGGAATTCAATGGTCTGATATTGGCTCACCGCAACCTCTGCCTCCCAGGTTCAAGCAATTCTTCTGTCTCAGCCACCTGAGTAGCTGAGATTACAGTCATGCACCACCACGACTGGCTAATTTTGCATTTTTAGTAGAGACAGGGTTTCTCCATGTTGGTCAGGCTGGTCTCGAACTCCCGACCTCAGGTGATCTGCCCACCTGGGTCTCCCAAAGTGCTGGGATTACAGGTGTGAGTCACCGCACCTGGCTCTTTATTTTGTCTTTTAAGGCAACTCTTCCCATCTGAGAGTCAAGGGAATAAAAATCTCACCTTTGCAGTGGGTGGGCAGCTATGCCCTGGGTAGGACTGTTCTAATGGTAGAGGAGCCGTCAGGGTGGAGAAGGCGGCCTTGCAGAGGTGGGTCCGTCCAGCACAATGGCTGAGGCAGCAGAGTTTGGAGAAGGCAATAACCTTCCTTGTTTTCCTTTATCAGCTAAGTGTGTTTGTTTTAAATATAAAAGTAACAAACATATGCTTATTGAAAAAAAGGAATGTTCCAACAACACACAAGTGTATAAAGTAAAAAGGAAAAGTCCATTCCCCTAGTAATGTTTTCCATCCAAAGTTTCTTCTGTATGTTTATAGAGAGACAGAAAGATAAACAGACAGGCAGAGGATTATTATATAGACAAATAGAATTTTTTATTTTTCATTTTTATTTATTTATTTATTGAGATGGCGTCTCACTCTGTCACCAGGCTGGAGTGCAGTGGTGCCATCTTGGCTCACTGCAACCTCCACCTCCCAGGTTCAAGAGATTCTCCTGCTTCAGTCTCCTGAGTAGCTGGGACTACAGGCGTGCGCCACCACGCCTGGCTAATTTTTGTATTTTTAGTAGAAACGGTGTTTCACCATGTTGGCCAGGGTAGTCTTAATCTCTTGACCTCATGATCCACCTGCCTCAGCTTCCCAAAGTGCTGGGATTACAGGTGTGAGCCACTGCACCTGGCCGATAGATAGAATTTTTATGGGGCTTCGTCTATACATGCTGTTCCCAAACTTGCATTTATGCTAAACCATAGTCATGAATATCTTTTCAGGACAGTATGAATATTTCTACAGTGTTTTGTTTTATTTTATTTTTTTTTGAGACAGGGTCTCACTCTGTCACCCAGGCTGGAGTGCAGTGGCATGATCTCAGCTCACTACAGCCTCAACCTCCCAGGCTCAGGTGATCCTCCTACCTCAGCCTCCTGAGTAGTTGGTACTATAGGTATGTGCCACCACACCTGGCTCATTTTTGTATTTTTGTAGAGACAGAGTTTCGCTATGTTGCCCAGGTTGGTCTCGACCTCCTAGACTCAAGTGATCCGCCCACCTTGGTTTCCCAAAGTGCTAGGATTACAGGCATGAGCCACTGCATACAGCATAGTGTTTTTTTTAATGGCTGCAGAATTTCTTCCCTGGACTGCTCTTAACTATGGTTTATTTGACCGTTCCTCTGTTGAAGGATATTTGGGTTGTTTCCAATCATTTACTAACCTAGAGCCGCTGAACAACTTGTACCTTTATGTTTGTTTACTTGAGTTTGGATTTCTGTGGGTAGATTTCTAGGGAGGGATTGATGGAGGAAAGGGTTTGTACCCTTTACAAATTGCCAAACTGCTCTGTCTCTCCAAGATCTTGCCAGTTGATACTCCCACCAACAGAATGTGCGAAGCTCTGTGTATTATCTTTCAATTTCTGTCACCTATCTGAAAAGTTGTATAAAAAGTATTGTCCAAATTACCTTAGAAAGGCTGTAAATGTGAGCGGATGCCCCTTTTCTTTGGTAACCCCTTCATGATTGTGAGGAAAGCAAGCGATCATCTCTTTCAGGACCCCTTGCTCTCTAATTTGTGAGGCGACAGTTGTCCCTGTGAAAGAGTTGGCTCTTTCCCATGGAAAGTAAGCCCAGAGGATGTAGTTTTGCAAATACCTGGCAATGGTTTCCACCTCCCCTGCCCACAGTCAGCCAAGTCCCATGGCACCCTTGGTGAGAGCAGATGGCCAGTGTAGGCATCTCCCAGTGGGTAATCCCGCCCCCTGTAGCTTCTGAGGGGCTCCCACCTGTTCAGCCTATTCTTAGCTTCATGGCTGATCTTTCCTGGACATTTGGTCTGGAGATTTTTCTAAGGAAGGAGAGCCAGAGGCAAGAGCATCCTCCGGGAGGGCCTGGAGAAAGGTTCTGAGCAGCACTGGTTGAGTCTTCAAGAAGAAGGCACATTTAGATGGCTGAGATTTGAAACCTTCATGGGTTTCTCCAACCTGTGCCTCGGGGGTACTGGTCATAATCAAGAAAAGACTGTGGAGCCGCTTCCCAGATGCCATTGACTTGGGGACTCTTGATGAAATTCCAGACATCTTTAGAAGGAGACTATAACTAGTGAACCATGCATCAATGGTGCAACTGGAAGGGACCTTGGCACCTTTAGCTCCTGAGTTTTGTTTTCACTATTTTTTTTTTTTTTAAGATGAGGTCTTGCTTTGTTTCTAGGCTGGAGTACAGTGGCATGATCATAGTTGGGTGTATCCTCGGACTCCTAGGCTCAAGCAGTCCTCCTGCCTTAGCCTCCTGAGTAGCCACCATGCCTGGTTAATTTACTTTTTTTATTGAGACAAAGGTCATGTTATGTTGCCCAGGCTGGTCTTGAACTCCTGGCCTCAAGCAATAATTTTTTTTAAAGACTTTTTTTCATAAAAAATTTCAAACCTATAGAAAAATAGTAAAATGTAATAGATACTCACATACCCACCACCTAAAATGAGCGAATGTTAACATTTTGCTGTTTGCTTCATCTATTGTTATTCTAAACGATTTGAAGGAAAGTGTAGATATTATGACTTTTTACCCCTAAATACTTTAAATACATCTCTACAAATTAAGTTCTTGTGTGTGTGTGTGTGTGTGTGTGTTTAGTATTCTTTTATTTATTTATTTATTTATTTATTTTGAGACTGAGTCCCACTCTGTTGCCCAGACTGGAGTGCAGTGGTGCAACTCACTGCAATCTCCGCCTCCTGGGTTCAAGCGGTTCTCCTGCCTCAGCCTCCTGAGTAGCTGGGATTACAGGTGCCTGCCACCACACCTGGCTAATTTTTGTATTTTTAGTAGAGATGGGGTTTCACCAAGTTGGCCAGGATGGTCTCGATCTCTTAACCTTGTGATCTGCCCATCTCGGCCTCCCAAAGTTTAGGGATTACAAGCATGAGCCATGGTGCCCATCGGAGTTCCTGTGATTTTTAAGAGCTTTTTAAAAGGCAGCAGACCATTCTATTAAATGAGGTATCATGTGGATACCCAACACAGAGAGCTGAGTTGTGCTCAGGACAGATCTGAGCAGAGATGTCAAGGATACAGTTGAACGTGCCAGTCTGGAGCTCTGGAGCAGAAGTTGGAGGTGGAGATCTGGGCTTGGGATGTGTTTAAAGCCATAGGCTCAAATGAGGTCACTAAGAGAAAGCCAAGAGAGAGGGAGGAGAGGACACCCCAGGACACTCCGGCCTTGGAGAGACACCAGCAGAGGAGGCTGAGAGAGCTGCCCGCAGAGTGTGAGGAGAAGCAGGACAGAGAGTGTCTCTGGGGCCAAAAGAAGAGAGTGTTTCACGGGCAAGGGTATAGTCAGTCGTGTCTGCTGTGGAGAGTCCGAGCAAGCTGAGGGCAGAGAGCTGAACATTGGATTTAGGACAGATGGGAAGCCAAGACCCAGAACTGTTAGTTCTAACATTTGGTACTCACAAGCTACAGATGAGGAGGAATCGGAGGACAATTAAGGGAGGGCAACTTGCCTGCGATCACACAACGAGCTAAGTGGTAGAGCGAGGACTACAGCCCAGGCCCGTGGTCCTCCAAAGGGCAGACTTTACCTGCCTAACACCAGCCTTCTCCCTCAGGCCACAAGCTGGATCTTCAGGCCTCAGTTTCTTGCTGGTAATTCCTCTGCAGAGGATCACCAGGTACCCATTGCTGCTGCAGAAAATCCTGGAGAACACACTCCCTGATGCCAGTGCCTACCCTGTCCTTCAGAGGGCTGTCTCTGCCCTCCAGGACGTGAACACCAATATCAATGAGTACAAGATGCGCAAGGAAGTGGGTAAGGACTTGGGCATTTAAGAGGACACATTTGTGGGAATGCTTCCAGTTACAGAAAATTTACTTAAAATCAGTTTCACCAGTAAAGAGAAGGTAGTAGCTTATGTAACTATAAATCCAGAGGTAATGAGAGAGTTTTAGGTAGGGTTTGATCAGGGTGCTGGTTCCATTTCCCTGTAACTCCCATGTCTCTGCTTTTTACTCTGTATCAGCTTCATCTTCAGGCTGGCTTGCCTTGTAATAGCAAGTTATGACTGTTCTAAGACTCACAGCTGCATACCACACTTCCCAGGGTAAGGCAAGGTTTTTTTCCCCTTAGCCACAAAGATGAAATCGAATCTTCTCTTTGATAGGACCCTCCTGGGTCATGTGCTCACCCTGAACTAATCACTATAATTAGGGTGCCATTAACTGATTGCCTTAGACCTGGGTTATGTGCCCTTCTTTGAATCAATCACTGTTGCCAGGGGGTTGGAATTCTATGGATTGGCTTGTATCAGTCAGCAGCCCACCCTTTGAACTAAAGTGAGATCAATCTCATCCAAACCACATGACTGCCACACTGTGGAGGAGAAACCAATACTGGGGAGGTGAAGAACTGTGCATTTATCTGGGGAGAGGGAGAACCCCTGCCTCTCAGGTTGTTAAAACAGATAGGTTTGGAAAATGGAGCAGTGTCCTAAGTTAAGAGAAACTCAATTACACGACTGAGACAATATGAAAATGGCAATTCAGCTAATGTTAGTAAGAACTAACTGTGCCGTGCTTTTTCCTTTATCGTCATATTTGATCTTTGCACTAACCCTCCGAGGTTGGCCCCGTTAGCCTCATTTCACAGTCGGGTAAAATGAAAGAATACATCACTTGCTTCCTATCACAGAACTAGTAAGGGACAGAGCCAGGTTTCTTTCTTTCTTTCTTTCTTTCTTTCTTTCTTTCTTTCTTTCTTTCTTTCTTTCTTTCTTTTCTTTCTTTCTTTCCTTCTTTTCTTCCTCCCTTCCTCCCTACCTCCTATCCCCCCTCCCTCCCTCCCTCCCTTCCTTCCTTCCTTCCTTCCTTGCTTCCTCCCTTCTCTGTCTGTCTGTCTGATGGAGTCACGCACTGTTACCCAGGCTGGAATACAGTGGCCTAATTTCAGCTCGCTGCAGCCTTCACCTCCCAGGTTCCAGCAACTCTCTTGCCTCAGCCTCCCAAGTAGCTGGGACTACCGTGTGCCACTATGGTGTGCCACCATACCCAGCTAATTTTTGTATTTTTTTTAGTAGAGACAAGGTTTCATATTGGCCAGGCTGGTCTTGAACTCCTGACCTCGTGATCCACCTGCCTCGGCCTCCCAAAGTGCTGGGATTATAAGCGTGAGCCACCGCACCTGGCTGAGAACCAGGTTTCAAACTCAGGCCTGGAGTTTTCACCACCATGCTACACTATATTTAACAGCTTTGGATTTCCTCCCCACCTGCTTCTCCATCCAGGCCAAGAGACAACAGGTCAGTAGGAAGCACTGAGTCAGGAGCGGGAAGCGTGGCTCCCAGCTGGCCTGGCTCAAACTGGCTGAGGGACCCTAGGCAAATCTCTTCTCCCTGGGTTCTTTAGGAAGTCCATTCAGAGCCTCTGTCTTAGGTGACTCTCCCAGCAATCCAGCAAGGTGGCTGGTCCCATTTTACAGATGAGGAAACTGAGGCCCCAAGGAGTGGTGACTTGCCAAAGTCAAGCAGGCAGGAAGCTCTTCAGCCAGGGCACACACCTCAGAAAGAGGACCCTGTGCTTTTCCTGTGTGACTCACCAACCTAATGAATGTGACCCTGTGGGAGAAGAGGGCCCAAGCAGGTGCCCAGGTAGGCATGTCCGTGATGCTTGCTTTCCTGGGTCAGCTTTGATCACCATGCTTCCCCTCTTCTCTGTCGGTGCAGCCTCCAAGTACACCAAGGTAGAGCAGCTGACCCTCCGAGAGCGGCTGGCCCGCATCAACACACACACCCTCTCCAAGAAGACCACCCGGCTGAGCCAGCTGCTGAAGCAGGAGGCAGGGCTGATCCCCAGGGTGAGCATGGGCCTGAGAGAAAGAGTCCCATCCAGCCACTCCTGAGGCCAGGCCCTGTGCACGGGGTAGACAGGGGGCTTAGGCTCCTTTCAGAACTGAGGCAACAGAGGCTGAGCAAGTGAGGTGCTGGGAAGAGGCAGAGGTGGCACCCCACTTGATTCTGAAGAGCCAGTGGAGGGCTTTCTCCAGTGTTTTGGGCCACTCTCTCTGGGGCCTCTTTACACAGATAGGAGAGCTGGTCTCTGAGTCTGGGCAAAGAACCAGTCCCAAATAGCTACTTCTAGCAGTTCATGTTGGTGGAGTGCCTGCTCTGAACCAAGCACGCTCACCCAATGAAATAGGTGTTCCCATTATCCCCATTTTGAAGATGAGAAATCGGAAGCTCAGACAGGGTCAAACACTTATCTGGGGTCACACAGCTAGGAAGCCAATGAACTGGGGCTCATGCTTACGTGTCCAATTCCATGCTCTGAAGCAAAACCCCTGAGCTACACTATCCACTGAGCTTCGGGGCTGTGAGAACCTGCACTGGTGGGCGAATCTGTGGAAAGGTTGTTCCAGGGAGGACTTGGGACACTACTGCCCCCATGTGGATATTCTCAGCCCTCACACACATTACTTTCAGACAGAAGACAAGGAATTTGATGATTTAGAAGAGAGGTTCCAGTGGGTGTCTCTGTGTGTGACTGAGCTGAAGAACAACATGGCTGCTTACCTGGACAACCTGCAGGTGAGGACCCTGCAGGGTTCATAAAGGGCAAGTCTGGGCTGGGTTCTCCTGGCAGGAGGCTTGCAGAGCCCAGCCTACAAGCTGGGGAAGGTCATCCAGTCTCTGGCTGCCACCAGAAGAAGAGTGCTGGGCAGCACTCCTCAGCCCCAGGTCATTAGACTGAGGGGCAACTTCTGAGCCCACTGGGTTTCCTACCAGGTAGGGTGAAAATTCACTGGGACCAGAGCCCTCTAGAGCGACCCTGCCAGACCAGCATCTAGAGCAGGGGAGACAAACGCAGGTGCCTGAAGGGGCCAGGCAGGTAATGCTACTGAGTGAAGTGTGCGGGCAATAGGCAATCCAGTGCAATAGGAGTGTAGTGTCTAACAGGCTGTTTCCGAGGCTTTTCAGTGGACTTACTTATAAAATCGTATTTGGAATTTGAAGGGCTGAATGAATGAATGAATACATGAATCAAATCTAAGGAGCAACTACTATTCAGCTCTGTGGGTTGGTGCTGGGTGGGAATCTGGGCCCAGTTCTTCTGACTTAAAGAAAAACATACCTGGAAATTCAGGTATTTTCCAGATTTTTGATGACATCTCTTGATGTGTCAATGTGAGCAACTAATTAAATGAAGATTTAAGTGCTATGAAAGCCCAAGAAAATATATCTCTGTGAACTGAATTCAGCCCATAGGCCCACCAGTGTGCGTGACTCTCCAGCAATGGCAGTTTCCTCTAGCCCAAATCCCACCTTGATTCTCAGCATCACTGCTGACTCATTCTGTCTACCCGGCCTCCTTAATGTGGTTTTGTTCTTAATTACGTACATTTGTGCCAATCAGCTCAGTCACAGATGATAATGGGCCCTTTGGATAATGGGGTTTGGGGTGGCATTATTGAAATATGTAAAGGAAGGAGAGTGTAGCTCCATGCTTCTCTGTGTGGGTCAGTCCCACTGCTCATTCATGTTCCACCGTGGGCACCCCCAGTGGCAGGGTCTGAACAGCCCGGATCCTGTTACAGCACAGCGAGCAGGAGGGGAAGACGCTCAGAGCCAAGGCATGAAAAAGAAAGGAGGGGCCTGCAAGTACTGGGCCTCAGAAAGGTCATCCAGTCTCTGGCTGCCACCAGAAGTGTGGGGCTTTGAGAGAGGTAAACCACAGGGACGTGAGAGATACCTCCGGCTTTGCCGAGCAGGATGACTATTTGGAAGCATTAAGGCTGCCTCTCTGTAGATGCAGGACTTACATGACAGATATGGAGTTAACGTAGAATCTTGTCATTAGTGAGGGATTCCCTCTTTTAATCCTCTGACTGAATCCAGGAAAAGCCTACTTGCTGGTGTTCCTTTAACACACGCAGAATGAGTTTCAGGCTGAATATCATTTCAGAATGATATCCAGACAGTAGAATGTAATGACAGTGTTTTGTTTTTATAGCAATTATTTTATATGCTTATGTGTGGTGATTACTGCTGGTTTTCCCTTTGTGGTAGCATTGTAAGGTGTGTGTGTGTGTTTTTAATGCATTGATGTAAATAGAAAAGGTTAATTGATTTAGAGAAAAGTATTAATAGAACATGTGAAATATGGACATGAAAAAAAACCTACTGCCAGGTGCGCAGGCTCACACCTGCAATCATAGCACTTTGGAAGGTTGGGAGGCTGAGGCAGATAGATCACTTGAGATCGGGAGTTCGAGACCAGCCTGGCTAACATGGTGAAACCTTGTCTCTACTAAAATACAAAAAAAAAAAATTAGCTGGGTATGGTGTTACATGCCTGTAGTCCCAGCTACTTGGGAGGCTGAGGCAGGAGAATCACTTGAACCTGGGAGGCAGAGGTTACAGTGAGCCAAGATCTCTGTACTGCACAGCAGCCTGAGTGACGGGGTAAGATTCTGTCTCAAAAAGAGAAAAAAAAATCCACAAAGGTGGATGCAAATATGTGACGTTCAAGAAGCACTGGAATGAGGAGAAAGAGGTTGGCTGAGTCTAAGGCAGAACTTTCTAATCACTTAAGCTGTGTGAGGATAGAATCAGCTGTGTGTGTCCCTCTGGGGTGTGTAGAGAGCCTGGACAAGCTCTTCAGGAGGTATGGTGGAAGGGGATTCCAGCCTAAGATGGCCACAACAGGCCATGATTGGATGTTTCTCCTTGTTACTGGGTCCAGGCTTTCCTCTGCTTCAGGCCGCACGAATTCAACCTGGACATCGCTGAGGGGCCTGCAGTGCAGTACTGCAATTTGGCCAGAGACCTTCAGCTGGAGGCCTTCCTGAAGTTTGTGAGTGGAACTTTTTCTTTCTTCTTTCTCTGTTAGGCAGGTGGTAGAACTTACAAGAACAGCATTTAGAAGTTAGGCATTTTATGCAACTGTCACATCTGTAATCTTCCTGAGAGGTCAGCAGCATAGATTATTATCAGTGCACTTTACTGATAAAAATAGACCCCAGGTGGAGGCGGGAGGATCACAAGGCCAGGAGATCGAGACCATCCTGGCCAACATGGTGAAACCCCATCTCTACTAAAAATGCAAAAAAAATTAGCTGGGTGTGGTGGCGTGTGCCTGTAGTCCCAGCTACTCGGGAGGCTGAAGCAGGAGAATTGCTTGAACCCGGGAGGTGGAGGTTGCAGTGAGCAGAGGTCATGCCACTACACTCTAGCCTGCCTCCTGGTGATGGAATGAGACTGTCTCAAAAAAAAAAATAGACCCCACTAACATTTATTGAGTCTCACTATTTGCCAGACTCTATACTAAGCCCTTTATATTATTCCTTACATCATTTAATCCTCACCATATGGTTTTGGGGGTGGCTACTATGAATAGCCCCATCCTGCACATGGGAGCTTGAGACTCAGATAGGGTGACCTCCTGGGTCATTTATACAGATGGTCAGTGGTAAGCTGGGATCTGAGCCCCAAAGACTCTTGACCATCACTCTATGTGAAATATTTTCTAAGGCTGGGCAAGGTGGCTTACACCTATAATCCCAACACTTTGGAAGGCCGAGGCAGGAGGATTGCTTGAGCCCAGTTGTTTGAGATCAGCCTGGGCAACATAAAGAGACCCTGTCTCTACAAAAAATAATAATAATAAAATTAACTGGGTGTGATGGCATGTGCCTATTGTCCCAGCTACTTGGGAGGCCAAGGTGGATCACTTGAGCCTGACACGTAGGCTGCAGTGAGCTATGATCATGTCACTGGGAGACAGCCTGAGAGACAGAGTAAGACCCTGTCTCAAAAAAATAAATATATATATTTTCGAGATCTTTGTATAATAATGATTGGAAGTGCTCTGTAAGATTGAATGCCTACTCTGTGCCAGGCACTCTGTTAAGCTCATTACATGCAACATCCCCATTTTTCAGATAGGCAGATTGAGGCCTAGGGAAGTTAGATAACATGCTAAAGGTCCCAGCTAGTCGGTGGAGCTTAGACTGGAACCCAGGCCTGCATGCTTCCAAAGCCTCGTTCACAGCCCCTGCTTTCTGCTACCTCCTTTCCCAACTCCCATGCTCACCTCTCCTTGCAGAAGCAGCGGCTGGAAGGCCTGGTGTGGCAGCCACTGTGCAGCCTGGCCAAAGCCCTGCTCGGCCCTCAGAACCTGATCAAGAAGCGTCTGGACAAGCTACTGGACTTTGAGCGGGTAGAAGAGAAGCTGCTGGAGGTGGGCAGTGTGACCTATGAGGAGCAGGCAGCCCGGCACACGTACCAGGCACTCAACTCCCTGCTGGTGGCTGAGCTCCCACAGTTTAACCAGCTGGCCATGCAGTGGCTGGGCCAGATCCTGCGCACATTCGTGACCCTCCAGAGGGACCTTGCAAAGCAAGTGCTGCAGAGGGCAGAGGGCAGCATGGCCCAGGTAAGGCCGCTGGAACTGGGACACCTGCGGGGAGTAGCCAGGCAGGCCTTGCAGCCCCATCAGCCAGCTGTGTGTAGAGCTAGGAGGGAGGGAGGCATCAGGCACTTAGTAGGAGGCAGTGGGAACCTTCCAGATCTCTCTCATGCCTAGTGTCCCTCTGTTAGTGAAGTCAGACCATGAAAGCAAGGATAGGACTGAGATTCCAGACCATTCCCAAGTCCTGCAACTCAGAAGCAGCAGAAGCTTTGCTGGTACAATAGCAGACCTTGGGATTGATCTCCGAAGTGTACTAGAAGTTGGTGACAGAGACAAAAGGTCACATCTACACAGTCAGGAGTAAATGTCTCAGGCCGGTGTTACTACTTCTAACAGCCATCTTCTCATGAGTACTTTAGATGAGCTCATTCAACCCTCACAACAACCCTACAGAGTAGGTATAATTATCCTCATTTTAAAAATAAAGAAGCCAAGGCATGGAGAGGTTAAGTAGCTTGTCTAGGGCCACATGGCTAATAGCAAGCTTTGAACTCTGACAGTTCAGCTCCAGATCCTGGGCTCTGAACCACAACACTCAAGAGCCTGTAAAAGGGGCTACTGGCTGAAAGCATAAATAGGTTCCACAGAGGTTTGGATAAACCTCCAAATGCAAACTTGGTTTTAGTGTTTGGGAGATGGAGTTGATATAGGGAAGAAAATTCCAGCTTTTGCTCTCAGATGTCAACATCAGAGCTCAATTGCTGGCGGGTCCAAACTTGGGAGCAGTTTCAATACTTCTCATGTCACACACTGTCTCCTGTGTGTCACCATAAGCTCAGCTTTTCCCCCTCCAATCCTTTGCATGAAAATTCTACTAAAATTTGCCTTCCCCACCCCATCCCCTTTGCAGCCCACAGCCCTCCCCTCCAGCACACAGCTGCTGAATGTAGCCATTCTGCACAGATGCCTGCCTCGGCTTCGAATGGCCCTCTCCATTGTCCCTCAGCACTTTTAAGTGTCTGGCATAGAGTAGGAGCTCCCCATACAGGTGACAGATGAATGAGTCTCTCCATGAAGCTCTCAGAGCTCCCCATCCCCTGGTGGGAAGAAGTCACCTCCCTATCCTCCATTCTCCAGCAGCCCTGTGGATGGGACTGTATTCAGTACTTTCCAGAGCCTGCCTTCTGCTGCAGGGACCCATGGGAGTGTTTCTCCTCCAGCAGGGGGACTGCAAGCTTTTCCTCTTTTTGGTCCTTGCAGAGTTCTGTCCCAGACACTCTTTGCAAATTGAATTAGGCCTGAACCATCAGCAAAAGAAGTGTTTCTCTTCCTTGAGGGCAGAAGAGTAAATCTGATGAGGTGATCTTTTTCCTTTCTTCTAGCCTAGAGGTTTTCTCTTGGGCTGCCTCAACACCTTGCATTAAAGCCGGGATGTGCAGAGCTGGGGAGTGTTTGGGGATGCCAGTAGAGAGGTGGTCACATTTGTAAAAGCAGAAAGTTAGGGTGCTTCCTGATTGGTCCTGTCAGAGTTTGCTGGTAACAGCTGCCAGCCTGCCTTATCTGTGTCCTGTGGTCCATGAACCTGGCCTGTCCCTGGGGGACCTGGGAAAGGCTGCAGGCAGAAACCTCAATCTCCCCTCATCCTGGTGGGAGGAAGGCTCTAGTCAGCACTGAGAGCAGTTTGGTGACAAGCTGTGAGATTGGTGACAAGCTGTGGGGTCTCACTCACTCCTAGTTTGTCTGATGAAAATACAAGAGATCCTGCACAGGGTCAAGGTCTCAGGACAGAGCATCACTGAGAACTCCTTGGGTTGAAAGTAACAGAAACCCAAACCAAGCCAGGGATCTCCTTGTCCCTCTTGCCCAAAGCTCTGTTGACAGTGTCTGTCCCCACTTAGCTGCCCCACCACCATGTCCCAGAGCCTGCCTTCAGGAAGCTGGTGGAGGACACACTGGGCCGGACGAGTAACCAGCTTCACTCCTTTCAAGAGACCTTTGAGAAAGTGCTGCCACCTCCCACCACACAGGTAAGCATCCTTCCCCACCCCAAAGCGTGGCCAGTTCTTCACTGGCCAGTGGGGTGAGGCTCCATCCCCTCTTTCCTTTCCTTTTTGTCCCCCAGTGTTTCCTGTTATCCACGGAAATAAATTCTTTCTCCTTTCTCTCTGAGTTGGGGGTGGGGGACACACCCACATACATACATGTTCTTCACATCCAAGAAGTAGAAGAACAGCACAGAACTTCTGAGTCAAGGAAAAGAAAACTCAAACCTTTTAATATTAAGTGAAATTAGACATAATGATTGGCAAATGGTATTGACATTTAGCTCCCAAAGAGCTTTGGGAGGCTAAGGTTGGTGGATCACTTGAGCCCAAGAGTTCAGGATCAGCCTGGCCAACATGGCAAACCCCGTCTCTACTACAAATACAAAAATTAGCTGAGTGTGGTGGTGTGTGCCTATAATCCCAGCCACTCGGAAGGCTGAGGCAGAATTGCTTGTGCTTAGGAGGCAGAGGTTGCAGTGAGCCAAGCAAAGGTATCCTTTTCCTTCCCCACCTTCTAATACCAGCTTCAATATGAGCATTCAACATAAATAAAAATTTTGAATATGTAATTTAAACTTCCTTTTGCTATTTTTTTTTATTGCAAAGAACAGCATTTCAGCTGCATGATGGTGTACAAATCTTTGGCTGACCAAATGATTTCCTTTTTTTTTTTTTAAAGATGTAATTTTACTCTGTTGCCCTGGCTAGAGGGCAGTGGCGCGATCTTGGCTCATTGCAACCTCCACCTCCCAAGCGATTCTCTTGCTTCAGCCTCCTAAGTAGCTAGGATTACAGGTGCCCACCACTACACCCAGCTATTTTTTGTATTTTTAGTAGCAACAGGGTTTCACCATGTTTACCAGGCTGGTCCTTTTTTTTTTGAGACGGAGTTTTGTCCTTGTTACCCAGGCTGGAGTGCAATGGCGCGATCTTGGCTCACTGCAACTTCTGCCTCCTGGGTTCAGGCAATTCTCCTGCCTCAGCCTCCTGAATAGCTGGGATTACAGGCACGAGCCACCATGCCCAGCTAATTTTTTTTTTTTTTTTTTTTTTTAGTAGAGACAGGGTTTCACCATGTTGACCAGAATGGTCTCGATCTCTTGACCTCGTGATCCACCCACCTCAGCCTCCCAAAGTGCTGGGATTACAGGCATGAGCCACTGTACCTGGCCTCAAATGCTTTTTTTTTAAGATGGAATTTCACACTGTTGCCTGGGGCTAGAGAGTACAATGGTATGATCTCGGCTCACTGCAATCTCCAACTCCCAGGTTCAAGTGATTCTCCTGCCTCAGCCTCCCGAGCAGCTGGGATTACAGGCGCCTGACACCACGTCTGGCTACTGTTTTGTATTTTTAGTAGAGATGGGGTTTCACTATGTTGGCCAGCCTAGTCTCGAACTCCTGACCTCATGATCTGCCTACCTTGGCCTCCCAGAGTACTGGGATTACAGGCATGAGCCACTGCACCTGGCCCTAAATGCTTTCTTAAAAATGTATTTTCCTTTAAAATATAAGTAGAGGTTATCTGTTCTAGTCACTTGAAAAGTATAAGCAGGTGGTCTGTGTTTCAAAAGTAGCTGAAGCAGCTGTAGGGAGAAGGGTCTCCTCAGACTGTGGCAAGACCTGGATGTGAGAAACTGAAACTGTGTCCCATCACATGCAACATGTGAAATGAAGAGTCAGGAAACAAGAGCCCTGAGATTCCCCAGAGGGACAGTGGGGCCCCAGGGACACACAGAAACAAGAAAAGGAGCCCAGCAGAACAGGACAGATAAAGGGGGCCCACATCTGGCCCAAGTATTGTGAACATAGGAGACCATCACGCCCTGAAGTCTGCCCTGAGGCCGTGGGCTGACTCCTTGCTGGCCCCATCTGTCCCCATCTGTCCCCCTCCTACCCCACCTGAGAGCATTGCCCAGCAGAAGCCTCACTGACTAGGGGGTTGCCATGGGACCTGAGACTCAGGGAGAGAGAACGGGTGTAAAAGATAAACAGCAGAGTAGCCACTTGAATGTGTCATGAGAACCTCTTCTCTCTTTCTACTTAAAGCAAATTAAAAGGATATGTTTCTTATTGGGAAAGCAATCCATACATATTGTAGAAAAGTTAAAAGACACAGAAAAACAAATAAAAAGGAAACAAATGGAAACATCCATAATCCCAGTATGTGTTGCACATTGGTAGGAAAAGTCACCCCTTCCCACCCTTCCACCTCTATACGCACATACACACACACACACAAACACCCCTCCTGTCCATTTCTGATGTACTTGGCTGAGGTTATAGAATCCAGCACAAGTGAGGTGGTCTCCCAAGACAGGAGCGGCCCTCATGGAATCTTTACAAGCCCTCCTTGGGGGCCCTCCCAAGAGTGACACTGTTCTCTGCATTGGGAGGGCCGGTCAGCCTTGAGAAAGAAGGCCAGCATCTGTGACACCACTGGCTCTTATACTCACACGCACACCACGGTTCTGAAAGACGTGACCGCAACACACCGTTCGTTCTCAAAGAAAACTACCTCGTCTCTACATTCCTGTTTAAGGACCTGGTTCTGAAAGACGTGACCGCAACACACCGTCGTTCTCAAAGAAAACTACCTCGTCTCTACATTCCTGTTTAAGGACCTGTTTAGAAACACTGAGATCTCCTGGTTCTAAATCCCTACACACCATCCCCTTTGGAGGAAGGACGTGGCAGAATCTGTGGCCAAATGTTCCTGAAGGGTATCTCTGCCTGCCTCCCCACAGCTGACACCTCCCCCCAAGAAGTAATCACAGAGAGCATGGTGAACACACACACACACACACACACACACACACGCTTCTCTCAAGACAGAGAGTAAATATATATTTAACAGATTTAGTTTCTTATTGATTTTACTAAAAGGGGACAAGCATCCCTGAGTCTCTTCTTGTTGATACTCTCTGGAAACAGTATTGTGGAATGAAAAAACAGGAAGTGCCAGGAGATTTTTGGATAAGTTGAAAGTGCCACCGAATCATTCTTTCCAGCTAGATGACAATTTTCATCTGAGTAAAACTCTCCTGTGTTTCTACTACACCATTCACAAAGTTTTCCACAGTGACTTGTAAATAATAGGTGCTTCATAAATGCCTGTGGGCTGAAAACTCATGAAATCAAAGGTTACATTCCATTATTCATGCATATGTGAAGTCCGCCATGTGCAGGCCTTCGCTGGCTATTTAGGAAACCAGATGAATAAGGTCTGGTGCCCACCTGAAACTCACAGCCTAATGGAATTGAAAGACCTGTCCAAGGCATTCTGCTGTGGAATAACTTAGCCTGATGGTATGGGCAGAATTTAGGGCCCAATCTTAGGAGTTTAGTAACTGAGAAATGTCAGAATTTGAATTAGAATGTTAGAGAATCCCAGCAATTAGAAGTTTCTTCTAAAAGGCTATTGGCTGCTTAGAGCCAGCCATCTGCTAGTGGGGGCCTTGTGGCCCTGATCAGGGTGGGCCCTTCAGTGGCAGAGTTAGGACCAGGCCCAGTACTCCTGGCTCTCAAAATGTGAGCAAATGTTGGTGCCAGCTTTGACAGGTTTATTCAAGTACTCATGTCTGTCTCTGCTCCTCCTCTCCCAGCCGCTCCTTCCAGGGTCTGAACGCCAGGTACAGGCTCTCCTGAGCAGGTATGGCCCTGGGAAGCTGTACCAGGTGACGAACAACATCAGTGGGACTGGGACACTGGACCTGACTCTGCCTCGGGGCCAAATCGTGGCCCTTCTTCAAAACAAGGACACCAAAGGCAACAGCGGCCGCTGGCTGGTGGACACAGGGAGTATGTGAGCCTTTGTGAGCCCTTCTCCTTCTGGGAAAACCACCCCACAGAAGCCAGTCCAGAGACACGGGCACTCTTGTGGCCCAAAGTCTGGCTGTGCATTCTAGGATGGGAGTAGGCACAGGTGACAAACACAGGGCTCACAGCACAGTCAGCTTAGAGTGACTCAGCGGGGCATGAAATATCCACAAAAGGAATTCAGGCATTCATTGCAGGGTCTGTCATCCAGCGCCTATTGTGTGCTGGGCTTTGAGCATATAAGACAAGGCTCCTGCCTTGAGAGGCTTGCAGATCACTGGGCTCAACAGGGCTGTATGGAGAGAACTCCAGGACCACTCTGAAAGATGGAGATGGGCACAGAGATAGAATGCTCAGATCCTGGCTCCACTGCCGGAAGTCTGATGTGCAGATTGAGGCGAGCAGTCATCCTGCCCACTCCGTACTGGTAATGGCCTTGGGGTGTGCTGCTCAGGTCTGGGTGTCCCAGTGTAACTGGGCTGGAGGACAGTGGCAGCATGAATCCAGGTGAGATGGCCCAGGAAGTCATCTTTCAAAGAGGGGCGTGAGACACAAAAGATGAGGGGTGCATGAGATTACTGTCAGAGGATCCACAGACAGTTTTTTTCCCCTTCAGACAGTGCATTATAATTGTTAGTTAAGGTTTTTTTTTTTTTTTAAGTCAAAGTTTCGCTTTTGTTGCCCAGGCTAGAGTGCAGTGGTGCAATCTCAGCTCATCACAACCTCTGCCTCCTGGGTTCAATTGATTCTCCCGCCTCAGCCTCCCAAGTAGCTGGGATTACAGGCATGCACCACCATGCTCAGCTAATTTTGTATTTTTAGTAGAGATGGGGTTCTCCATATTGGTCAGGCTGGTCTCGAACTCCCAGCCTCAGGTGATCCACCCACCTCGGTCTCCCAAAGTGTTGAGATTGTAGGCACGAGCCACTACACCCAGCTACTTAAGCATTTTAATAAGTATTAGAAAAAATATAACTAGTCCGCAATTCCGTGATTATAATCTTATTATTGTGTAGTACAAGATGAAATTTTTTTTTCTTTTTTCTATGTTTAAAGATAGTGTTTCACCATGTTGGTCAGGCTGGTCTTGAACTCCCGACCTCAGGTGATCTGCCCGCCTTGGCCTCCAAAGTGCTTGGATTACAGGCGTGAGCCACCATGCCCGGCCAAGATGAAGTTTTCAAAATCGAGTCAATTAAAAAATTAAGAAAGTGGTACAAATTGGACAGAAATCATGAAACAGCACTTCCATGACTTAAGGTGGAAACAATGGAATGAGTATTAAGCAAGGCCCCCATGGCCAAAAGGACTGGACTTGGATTCCAGCTCCACCACTTTCCTGGCTGTGTGATCTCAGGGAAGTCGTGGAGCCTGTCTGAGCCCGGCTGGTTCAAAGTAAAATGGAGATGACAACATTACCAACTGCCCTCAAGAGTTGATGTGAAGACTCTGTAATCAAATGCTAGCTCTGTAGTCTGGCACGCCCTCGGGAAGTGATAGCCATTCATAACGACAGCAATCAGAGCAGCACTGGACTAGTTGCTATGCTCAAAGGACCTGGGATCACCTGGAGAGGAGAAAGGCAGTCTCTGCCTCCTGAGAAAGGCAGAACCTGGGGAGAGGAAGAAGCTCTTGCTCTAGGCAGACCCCAGAGGGACATGGGAGCTGGCAGTTCCATCAGGAGAGCAGTTTTCAGGCCAGTCTAGGGACAAAGCATTTTTTTTTTTTTCGAGACGGAGTCTCTCTCTGTCACCTAGGCTGGAGTGCAGTGGTGCGATCTTGGCTCACTGCAACCTCTGCCTCCCAGGTTCAGGCTATTTTCCTGCCTCAGCCTCTCTAGTAGCTGGGACTACAGGGGCACACCACTACACCCAGCTAATTTTTTGTATTTTTAGCAGAGATGAGGTTTCACTGTGTTTCAAACTTTTAATCTCTATCATAGTTGATCAAATGGAGTGGGCTGTCCAGTAGGGAATGGGCCCCCTATCACTGGGGTGTGTTAGCAGAAGCCGGAAACCCTGAACAGAAGGGGTTCAGGGTTCCTAGATGACCTTTTCAGGTTCTCTTGGGTGTTGAGAAGCTGTGTTGGAGATATTTACATCCATTGATTTTTCTCCACCATTAAAAGGGACGGGAAGGTGGCCCACAGTCCACTAACCTTCTGCATGCTCCCTAGGACATCGTGGGTATGTGCCAGCTGGGAAACTGCAGCTGTACCATGTGGTCCCCAGTGCAGAGGAGCTCAGAAGGCAGGCGGGGCTGAACGAAGAACCCCGATGTCTAACACCAGAACCTGTTCGAGCTCCAGTGCCCTCTATTCCCACCGTGAACCAGGTGAGTACGGGAGAAGGCTGGGGGCTTGCCTCTCCTCGGCCATCTGGATTATGGCTTGAGTCACAGATGTCTCTGTCAAAGTCTATGCCCCTCTGCCACTCAATGAGGCCAAGGCCTTGATCAGTGGCCACACCAGTGTCCCAGCCAGGAGTGGGACCTGAAGAAAGGGGCCTCCCACCCCTACCACAGCAACCACAGAAAACTAACCTCTCATTCCCCATCAGCAGGGCAAGTGAGATTCATTCATTTGTTCGTTCATTCATTCATTCATTCATTTATTCAATATTTGCCAGGCACTGTACTAGATGGAGATACAATGATGAACAAAACTAAATTATGGTCTTTGCTTTCCTCAAACTTCTAATCTATAAGTAGGGAAAACAGTGATTAATAAAGTAATTGCATGAGTAACTGAAGTTAAATTTGATAGCAGAGATAAGTGCCCAGAGCCCTAGATGCAGAGAGGTCCAGGAAAGGTTTTGCTGAGAAGAATGGCGCTTTTTCTCAGACAGGAAGGGAGAGAGAGAATTAATTGGATAAAGAGGGTGTACTGGGGTGCAGATGGAAAGAACTCTGCAGAAAAGCCTCAGCGGTAGGAGAGGACAGGAGGTATATGAAAAACTGAATGAAGCCAGTGTGGCCGGAGAAGAGAGGGGCAGACTGGAGAGTTGTACCACTGAAGAGCTGGGCAGGGACAGCCAGCAGGGCCTTGTGGCCTTGGTGAGGGTGTCAGTCTATCTTTCTCTTAAGAGCAATGGGAAACGTGTATGCATGTTCATGGCAGCATTATTCACAGCAGCCCAAAAGTAGAAACAACCCTCAAGCCCATCAACACGAATGGATAAACACAACATGAGCTCTTCGTACAATGGAATATTATTCAGCCCTAGAGAGGAATGGAGCACCAGCACATGCTGCAGCACGGACAAGCCTTGAACACATGTTGCTAAGTGAGCAAAGTCAGATGCGAAAGGCCACATAGGATTCCATGCCTGTGGTTGTCCAGAATTGGCAAATCCATAGAGACAGAAGGTAGATGAGTGTCTGGCAGGGGCTGAGGGCTGGGAGGTGGGGAGTAGGGAGTGATTGCTAACTGGTATGAGGTTTCTTTTTGGGGTGATAAAAATGTTCTGGAATTAGATGGTGGGAATAGTTGCATGTGCCTGTGTGAATATACTTAAAACCTCTGAATTGTATACTTTAAAAAGGTAAGTATTATAGAATGTGAATTGTATCTAAAAAATAAAGTGATTGGAAGCCATTAAGGGATTTGGCTTTGCAGGGATGGAGTCCTTGAGCAGCAAAGAAGCTCAGCTGGGATAGTTGAAAGGATGGGATGAGACAGTTAAGGCCTGCATGTATTGTGAACTTCTCTCAATGGAGGCTGCTGTCACAATGACCAGCAGTAGGGGGTGGTGGAGGATGCACCTCAGAGGAGGCAGGAGCAACAGAAAGGATCTGGACACACCCAGATGCCTCGGGCCAGGGCAGCTGGAGGAGCCTGCAGTGGTTCTGTGTGAGTGCTGCATAGGTGTCTGGGGACCCTCTGATCCAGATCTCCTGCCACACCCACTGGGAAGGCTGTCAGCCCAGCATCCTCCAGTAGTAGCCAGAAGTAAAGCACCAGGGAATGCAAAGGACCCACCAAGGCCCCACTGGAGGGCCTGACCACCCAGCTCAGCCCCAGTCTCTCTGGGGAAAGAAATGAGGTTGCCCCTGCAGCTGGGCTCCAGTCAGTCTGGGTGGTGTGTCAGGGAATGCCCATCCAGGGGCTCATTTGGGTCAGCTCAGCTGTCTGTCTGCCCAGGTATATCAGCTGCTTCCTCTGGGACTCTGTGGGACTTGCCTGGAATCATCCCAATCTTCCTACACTGCTTAATGTTCCTGAGGCCTGACCATCAGTAATAACAGTAACAGTCAAAAAAATAAAAAAAGAACCAAAGCAGTCTGCACTTATTGAGCCCTTGCCATGTACGTCCCAGGCACTGTGTAAAGCCCTACACATGTATTCCTTCATGAAATTCTTTCAATGACCCGAAGGGGCGGGGACCATCCCCTCCATTTTGCAGATGGTAAAACAGTCTCAGAGAGGTTAAACATTAGCCCAATAAATGCCCTCCTCACCAACTGTTTTCTCTAGTTCAATTTCTTTCTTTCTCTTTTTTGAGATGGTGTCTGGCTCTGTGGTCAAGGCTGGAGTGCAGTGGTGCGACCTCATCTCACTGCAGCCTCAACCTCCTGGGCTCGAGCAATCCTCCCACCTCAGCCTCCTGAATAACTGGGATTACAGGTGCATACCACCCTGCCCAGCTGGTTTTTGTATTTTTAGTACAGACGAGGTTTCACCATGTTGGCCAGGCTGGTCTTGAACTCCTGATCTCAGGTGATCCGCCCACCTCAGCTTCCCAAAGTGCTGAGATTACACGCATGAGCCACCACAGCTGGTCCAGTTCAGTATTTTCCTGTCAAAAGTAACCAAGTTGCCTAAACTCTTGTCTCCACTTTCAGCTGGGAAACAGGCCTGAGCAGCTGAAACCCTTAGATCCGGAGGGGGAAAGGGTGCTGAGTCTGCTCAGTGCTGTGGCAACAGTGAATCCAAAATATCTGTTTGGAGGTCAGGCAGGTCTAGATTCACTCCTGTGCAATTCTGAATAAGTTTCTTGAGTCCTCTGAGCCTCAATTTTCATCTGAAAAATAGAGCAAATAGAATGATAGAATTGTTGTGAAAACCCAAACTCGGTAGAGTGCTAGGACAGTGCCATCACATTGTATGGGCCGTGGTACTAGCAGATGCAGTCATTGCCTTTAGCACAAAGGATGTACTTGGAAGGTGGTGAGCGTCCAGCAATGGGGCCGTGGGCCAGGTGTATGGGAACAGGAGGATGGATGCCTTCTCACCCTGACTGTTTCTGTATCACCCCCCGTGTGTTTCAGGTCATAGCAGCATACCCTTTTGAGGCCAGAAGCAGCCATGAAGTGAGTCTGCAGGCAGGCCAGCCCGTGACCGTCTTGGAGGCCCAGGACAAGAAGGGGAACCCGGAGTGGAGCCTGGTGGAAGTGAATGGACGGAGGGGTTATGTGCCTTCTGGCTTCCTGGCCAGGGTCCCGAGCCCAGTTTTGTGGGGCTGGAACCTGCCCTCTTAGGGTAACCTCTTTGGAGCCCACATTGCCAAGTGATGGGGGAGGCTTAGAGGGGGTGACCCCGGAGGGAGATGAAGCAAAGGAAAGGTGGGGGTGGGAGGGAAGACCACGCCAGGGTGGGTGAAGGGCACTCAGGAGGCCACCAGAAGACATGCCTAAGCAGTGAGCTCTGGTTTTTGAAGGGCTTTTAAGAAATATATACATGTCTGTGTCAGACAGTCTGTAAGTTGCCTCCTCTGGGCCTGTCAAAGCATGAAGACTGCATAATACAAGAGAAACACAGCCCCTACAGTTCCTTTCTCAGTAGCAAATTCACTTTATAGGATGCTCTTGACTCATTCTCTCTGCTCTTTCCTGCTCAGATTTCTGATAAAAATAAGAAGCATAGGGGAACAGATAAGGAAATAGGAAACCCACTAGTGCGTTCCACAGATACTTATTGTGGGCCTACTGTGTGCTGGAATTGTAGCTCAGGGGTTCTCAGTGTAGCTGCTTAGTGAGGTTACCATGGTAGCTTTCAACTGACAGAAGCCAGGCTCCCTCCCACCCAGAAATTCTAATGAAATTGGTTTAGGGTGTGGTTCAGGCCTCAGGAATTCAGAAAGCTTCCCAAGGCCTTCTAATATGTAGCCAGGACTGAGGACCTCTACCCTAGACACACAGTATTGGACAGATGGATCTGGGGCCAGAGATGGCCATGAGCTATAAGCTAGGATGTGTCCTAACTCAGCTCTGCACTAGCTAGTTCAAGTAGGTGCTTTAGAGGCAGTGTGAAATGGGACAGCCTGTCGGTCAGGTCTCAGAATGTATATTTATTAAGTGCCATTAAAAGGGACCTGAACAAAATTGGATGTCTTGTAGGCATAAGGAAGGAAAATAAAATATACTTGGAACCAAGTCTATCTGATGAAGGGAAAATAAAAACGTATTGAGTAGCATGTGGGTTCTGGTTTCGCATAGACCAGGGGATGAGATTAAAAGTCACCGAAGAGTGGGAAAATGCATATTGAGAAGATGGAGAACGGCCTGTATTTTCTCCAGGGGAATCTGTGTAATGTGCCTTTTCCCTCTCCAAATGCCTAGAACCATGGCACTGTGTCTTATTTATTTCACTGTTGGGGTATCACATACTAAATTTGCAAAGATATTTGCCTATGAACTGAACAAGCCCTCCAGGAGGTGAAGTCTGGTTCACAAGGGTATCTCTTGCTTCCCGTAATGGAGTGAGAACTCTTAAAAACCTTGGGCCCCAACTCAGTGTGGACATGAGGACAAGATTACAATATCAGCCGGGCGTGGTGACTCACGCCTGTAATCTCAGCACTTCGGGAGGCCAAGGTGGGCAGATCACGAGGTCAAGAGGTCGAGACCATCCTGGCCAACATGGTGAAACCCCTCTCTACTAAAAATACAAAAATTAGCTGGGCATGGTGGCATGCGCCTGTAGTCCCAGTTACTCGGGAGGGTGAGGCAGGAGAATTGCTTGAACCCGGGAGGCAGAGGTTGTAGTAAGCCGAGATTGTGCCACTGAACTCCAGCCTGGTGCCTGGCAAGAGTGAGACTCTGTCTCAAAAAAAAAAAAAAAAAAAGATTACAATATCAAAAGAAAGATGAATGAATTCTTGGTTAATATGATGAGCACTAGCTCAATGAGTAACTGATGTAAACTGCCGGGAATAAAGGACTTAAAAGATGGAAATGTTTCTGGAGTTTGTGTGACTCTAACCACTGAGTAGCCAGATACCCTGCTGTGCCATTTCTTCGCTAGACACTTGCTGTATATGAAAATGACATCTTTACACCTGTAATCCCAGCATTATTGGAGGCCGAGGTGGATGGATCACAAGGTCAACAGATCAAGACCATCCTGGCCAACATGGTGAAACCCCATCTCTACTAAAAATACAAAAATTAACCAGGCATGGTGGTGGGTGCCTACAGTCCCAGCTACTCAGGAGTCTGAGGCAGGAGAATCACTTGAACCTGGGAGGCGGATGTTGCAGTGAGCCAAGATCGTGCCACTATACTCTAGTCTGGCAACAGAGCGAGATTCCATCAAAAAAAAAAAAAAAGACATCTTGTTTGATCAGATCCATTTAATGGACACCCTTCATGCCTCAAGGAGCTGGCCTGAGCTAGTAGGGATACAGAAAGAAATCAGACACATGAGGCCCCGTCTTCCAGATCGCAGTCTCTAAGGGAGACAGATGAGGCAACATCAGTTACAAGCTATGTGTCAAGATGAAGTAATGGCAGGTGCCACACAAGTCCAGGGAGGAGGCCTACCTCTGACTCAGACTTGGTGGCCAAGGAAGGTTTCCCCGAAGAGGTGATATCCAAGCTGAGGCTCAATGGGCGGTTAGGTGAAGATGGCAGAGAGAGCACATTTGGAGGCTCAGAGGTGGCAGCAAGCATGGCATTTTATTCTGAGGACAGTGGGGAGGCATGAAGGGGTTTGAAGCAGAGGAGTAATGTGCTCAGGGCTGTGCCTTGGGAAGATCGCTAGGCTCTGACTGTGTGCCTCTTGTGTCCACAGACAACTGTATGCTCCATGAGGCTGAGAAGCTCCGATTCATCCTAGAATCTCCCTAAGCCCTTTGTCATGTGCCTCAAGTACTAGATGTTCAATACATCCCAGAGAAGATGGAGATACCAAAGCCCTGCCTTCAAGGACTCTCCTGGCTGGCTGGAGAGTCAGACATCAAGCAGTTATCTGGCCCTACAGGAAAGGATGCCCTCAGCCCCAGAGGGGTGCTATGGACTGGGCATATAGGTGCTCAGACAAAGGAGAGGTTTGGGAAGGCTTAGGTAGTCAGGGACAGTTTCCTGGGGAAGGTGGGGCAGGTGCTGGGCCTTGTGAGATATGTAAGGTTGGAGAAAGCAATTGGGCGGGGCATGGCAGGCTCATGCCTGTAATCTCAGCACTTTGAGAGGCCAGGGCAGGTGGATCACTTGAGGTCAGGAGTTAGAGATTAGCCTGGCCAACATGGTGAAACCCATCTGTACTAAATATGAAAAAAAAAAATAGCCAGGCATGGTGGCATGCACCTATAATCCCAGCTACTTGGGAGGCTGAGACATTGCTTGAACCTGGGAGGCAGAGGATGCAGTGAGCCAAGATCACCACACCATTGCCTGCCAGCCTTGGTGATGAAGCAAGACTCTTGTCTCAAAAAAATAAAAATAGAGATAAAGCAATCCTATGGGAATGCTCTGTCCTCTATGGGATGGAGGCCTTCTCAGGCCTGGGAGGCTGCATGGTGGCATGAAAAGGCCCAGCACTTGGCCCCAGAAAATCTAAGCAGGCTTGGTGCTTCATGCCTGCAGTCCCAGCTACCCAGGAGGATTTCTTGAGCCCAGGAGGTTGAGGCAGCTGTGAGCCATGATTGTGCCACTACATTCCAGCCTGGGTGACAAAGTGAGACCTTGTTTAAAAAAAAAAGGAAGAAAAACAAAAATATCTGAGTCCAAGACCTACTTGGCCATAGGCAAGCAGCACATGTCTTGACTATGGCTGGATCATGGTTTCTACGAAGACGCCTGATGATGGCTTCCAGCCTGCTCTGTCTTCCCCTGTCCAACTCAAAAGTACTCACTGCAGAGTTCTGGTCCATCTCAAGGGATCCCTGGGCCCTCCACCAGGACTTAATTTCTAACATGAAAGAGTCATTTTAAGGCCTGTTGTGGCAGGACAGAGCCTAAAATACCCTGGGTTGGGATGAAGGAAAGAGCCGGATTCCCCTCCAGCAACATCATGGGAGCTGAGATCCCAACGATGTATTCACTTAACCTTGCTCATTTGTTTCTTTCTTATAGATAAGTTTCCAAATTACCTTTTCTGTTTTCTCATCTGTAAAATGGGTACAATAATTCCTGTTCTCCCAGGGCTGGTAAGAGGATTACATGAGAGACGTGTGTGCCTGGTGTGTGCCTGGTGGTAGACATATCAGGAGTATCACTGATGTGCATTGATGGCACAGGAGAACTGTGACCACCAGGTGGCAGCAGGGATCTTCCAATCAGCTAAGGGACGGCTGGGAAGGGCCTTTGGGATCAATCCGAAATGCCCATGGTGCCAGGTCGTGAATGGAGATGAGAAGGGCCAAGTGAAAGGCATTAGGGGGTGGTGGGGACTGTGTTGACCAGAGCATACACACTCATTCTAAAGAGCTGTAGCTTCTTGGCTCCAAACAACTGCTCCCACATCAGTAGGAGGGCACCGTGGTATCATTCTGCTGTTTCAAGAGAAGCCGCCAGGTACCAGAGTTTTTGTTTGTTTATTTATTTGATCATATATATATTTTTTGAGACAAAGTCTCGCTCTGTCTTGCCCAGGTTGGAGTGCAGTGGCATTATTTCGGCTTACTGCAGCCTCCACCTCCCAGGTTCAAGCAATTCTCCTGCCTCAGCCTCCCGAATAGCTGAGATTACAGGCATGCGCCACCATGCCCAGCTAATTTTGTATTCTGAGTAGAGACAGGGTTTCACAGTGTTGGTCAGGCTGGTCTCGAACTCCTGACCTCAGGTGATCCACACTCCTTGGCCTCACAAAGTGCTGGGAATACAGGTGTGAGTCACCGTGCCAGGCCTATTTTTATTTTTTGATGTGACATCTTCTATGTGGAGATTGTGTGGTCCACAGCAGTTTGCCTCCTTGCATATTCTACCTGAAAGTGGGTTGAGTGCTTTGGGTGAAGATCTTCTCTGAAGAATTACTTTCATATCTTTGTATTTCCTGTGAAATTTCTTTCTGTGTCCTCACTTGACCCCTCCCTTCATGGGACATTAATTTGCTTCCTTAGATCTTTGAGAAGCGTTGCTTAATCTGTTGTGATTGTTATTATGGTTGTTATTATCTTCAAATTTTTATTGTTGGTCATATCGTCTGCCCCACTAGACAGGTTCCCCATAATACCTAGCATACAAGGCTCTTTGGAGAATTAAATGAGATGCTGACATAAGTCACTTAGTCAAGCACCCAGTTCATTAGTGCTCAATAAACATACTTGTCATTATTATGGGGTCTTCAGAGGAATTACATGATGTTTAGAGGAAGGTTTGCAGGGCCTGTCTACCTCCCTCTATGTGGGATGCTGATGAGGCCACTCTCCTATGTAGAAGGCCCCTCGTCCTGGGTCCTGAGGTCTTAGCTGGGGTTGGGCACAGCTCTTCACTCAGGGGCTGCTGTCACACCCCACAGGCATTCCTGAGGCTTTCCTTCCTCTCCCATCCCCGGTGCTGCCAGGCTGGGGCAGTGCTCATGGGCACAAGCACCCCGGGCTCTCCCCTGCCTCTCTCCAGCCACAGGGCGTTCTGGCGTCCACTGCATCTGCACAAGGACAAGCTGGGCAGGTGATGGCCTACCAGGAAATAAGCAGGCACCCTGGATACTGACGGGGCAGTTCCTCTCATAGGCCCAGGGCACTTTGCAGCCAGGAGCATCCTTTCTGGTGTTTCCAGGGGATGCAGCAGCTTTGGGGCCCAAGAGTCTTCTGGAGGCTTCAGGAGAAGCTTAGGGAGTGAAAAGAAGTGGGGACCAGGTGTGTCCTCATAGATGGTCACTTGTGGCTGTGCTCAGGAGCACTAGCTCCTGGCGTTCAGTTAATCCTGGAGGTCTCAGGCAGCCGCCTATTTCTAGGACATCTAGGGTTGCTTCTGGGTTCCCCATCTTGGGCTTGTCTGCCTGTCATTGGTCCTCCAGGGTCTGGATGTCCTCAGGGCCTATGAGTGGAAACTGAGTTCTAAACAGTGGCTGCCAGTTTGGGACAGCCATGACCCTCAGGCGGGCTGAGTTGGAGGAAATCTTGGAGTGGTGCCCTCCCATCCTGGACAGCTCCTATCTCCAGAGGTGGTTGTCTGCTTGTTTGCCGGCATGCTGGTTCCCTGCCTCGCTCCGCTCTGTGCTGTGGGAAACTACATTTCCCCGCTCCCTTCCTCTCTGGTTGCCTGGTAGGTTTCACCCATGGGAAGCACTGGCAGGTGGAAGAAATGTCTCAGTTTCCCCTTCTCTGCTTCAGGTAGCCTCCCTGCCAGTGGCCGGTCTCCTCCATAGTCCCAGCTCCCACCGGACGGCCCCTCTCTTGTGGTCCCAGGTCCCATTAGACAGCCTTGGCTATGCTTCCAGTTTCTGTCTGGTGGCACCATATCCTAGACACTAATAACACCGCCTCTTCCCTGCAGCCCTCCAGTCGAGGAGTTGTAATATCTTTTTGCTACTGTTCATCTCTGGGGTACTCCTCAGCTCTTTCACCTGTGTAAGCTACTCCCTTTAATGAATTCCTTCTGTTCTTTTTTAAATTTTTAGATGGAGTCTCTCTCTGTCACCCAAGCTGGAGTACAGTGGTGCAATCTCGGCTCACTGCAACCTCCACCTCCTGGGTTCAAGTGACTTTCCTGCCTCAGCCTCCCAAGTAGCCGGGATTACAGGCACCTCCCCGCCACACCCTGCTTCCCCAGAGCTTAGTGCTTGAACCCCAACCAAAGATTAAAACCTTGCTGCAATTTTACAAAAAATTGTAAAAATACAAATTTTTGTATTTTTAGTAGAGACAGGGTTTCGCCATGTTGGCCAGGCTGGCCTCAAATTCCTGACCTTGGGTGATTCACCCACCTCGGCCTCCCAAAGTGCTGGGATTACAGTGTGGGCCACTATGTCTGGGCACATTCCTTCTGTTCTAATGCATAGAGTGGTTTCTGCTTTCTGACTGGACAGCTAAATACCACTCAGGAGCCAGGGCTGCAGGGAGGGGCTGGGCCCCTGGCACCTCTCTGGTTCCTGGTCCCTTAGGCAGCCCAGCCCTTGGGAACAAAGGCAACCTTCTCTAGGTCCATCTGCACCTTCCCTGGTTCAGTGGACTGTCAGCCCTTCCTACATGGAGCTCTTAGAGTGTCTTCAGTTCCAGGAGAGCTGAGCCGGGCATGCTCCAGGGTCAGTGGCTGTGGTAGTCTGCTGAGCTGCCCCAGTCTTGGCGGGGTGAGACCATTATTGCCAGGCCCAGAGCAGACAAACACAGAGGAAATCTCAGGGCACTGGGTCAGCGCAGAGCCAGGCTTTGGGTAAGGGCCAGGCCCTACAGCTCTGGGGGAGAGAAGGAGGAAACACAGTTTTCCAGCAATGATGCCTCAGCAGCATCTGTGTCTGGCCCCGACTGAGAAGGGGCGGTGAGCCCCAGGTTTGGGATGGGAGGAGGATGGGGCTTCTGGCCAGGGAAGAGGCTGCTGGTCTTGGGGTCTCAGGGCTCCTGGGCACATCATGGAGCCTCTGCCATGGAAATAGACTAGCACATTAATAGCAATAACTGCAGCCTCCTTTCACTACTCACAGGGCTGTTTGAGGTTAAACGAGGGAATCCACTTTACGTGACTAATTCAATGCCTGGCACATAGCAAGCTCTCAAGCTGCAAGCTAAAAGACCAAATACAATTTCAACAGTCAGCTGCCATGGGCCTCACGCTGCTGGGCTGTCATGAGACTAGTGGTCAGGATCGAGCCTCAGGCCTCTCCCCTGGGGCAGGGCTGGAGCTGGGAACACAGATCCAGCTAGAAGAGGGCCAGGTTAGGTGAAGGATCAGGAAGGTTGGGAGGGCACGGTGATCCCGGGGCATACTCCCCCGGGATGTGGGGGAGGCAGCAGGTGTCCAGCAGGCAGTCGGAGCCACCGTGGGCCACTTGGGAACAGGCATTTCCTAGTGTCCAGGCAGGTCATAGGTCAGAGCCAGGTCAGGCAGTGGGCAGCAAGGTTTTAATCTTTGGTTGGGGTTCAAACACTAAGCTCTGGGGAAGCAGGGATCAGGACGGTGAAAGATACAGAGATCACAGCGGGAGGCAGCACAGAGAACTGGGCACAGGGTTCAAATATGGCTGTCAGTGGAAGGGACTTCGTATTGGGCTCTAGTGGCTGCCCTAGAGCCGCTTAAAACCCTCCCATTTGAGGACAGGATGGTCTTAGGGAGCCATGTGGGGCCGAACTTGGGAGAGGGTCTTGGGATGAAGAGGTGGTGGTGGTAGCCAGAAGCCCAGACTTCCCATACAAAATGGCCTAGTGCAAATCCTATCCCCACACTTTCCACAGTGTGGTCTTCAAACAAGCTGCTTCATCTCTCTGAAACCTCACCTTCCTCTTTGTGGGCAAATCAGGAGAGTCCTGCTGACAGGGTTCTTGGGACGTCCACACAGGATACATCACGGGAGACTTTGGCACTCTGTCTGGCATGTGAAAGTGCTTAATGACAAACTGATCCTTGGCCACACAAGCCAGTTTTGATCCCTCCCACCCGCTTCCCGGTATTTTTTCCAAATGTTTCAGGCAGTGACCCCACACTCACACCTGCTGTGCCTTCAGCTTTCTCCCTACTGCCCGTGCCCCTGACCCTTCACCGCCTGGGAATTCTAAAAAATACCCCACAGCTGTGTGAGTTCTTTCAAAACTGAAAGCAAGTAGGTGTCTTGAGAGGCCAAAGGTTGTTCCCCTGGGAATGTCACTGTGACCATGTCCTTAAATACTCTCTGGTGATCAGTTGGCCATCTTGAGTTACTGCCGTCTCCAGGCGCCAACCTGGTCTACTGATTGGCGGGCATGTGGGAGTGCACCTTCCCCCTACTTTTTTGTTTTTTAATTTTTAAAATCAACTTTCTAAATGCTTTTATTTCCATTTTTCACCCTCTCTGCCCCCGAAAAATGTCATAGGTCAGAACAGCAACCACAAAATAAAAATACAAACACAGGCTAAGTGCGGTGGTTCAAACCTGAAGTCTCAGCACTTTGGGAGGCTGAGGTGGGAGGATTGCTGAGTCCTGGAGTTTGAGACCTGGTGGCGCATGCCTGTGGTACCAGCTACTTGGGAGGCCGAGGCGGGAGGACTGCTGAGTCCTGGAGTTTGAGACCTGGTGGTGCATGCCTGTGGTACCAGCTACTCAGAAGGCTGAGGCGGGAGGATCACTTGAGCTTGCTGAAGCTGCAGTGAGCTGAGATGGCACCACTGCACTCCATTTTGGGCAACAAAGTGAGAGCCTGTCTCCAAAAAAAAAAAAAAAAAAAAAAAGAATACAAATACACAAACACATTCACACATACACACACACAATTGGAAAAACTTCACCATCTACCCCTTCTTTTCACACACCCATCCCACCTCCCACACCAGAGATTCCTGGGTACGAACCTCCCCTTAGGAGCAATGTGCCCTCAACCCACCTTGAACATCACAGCTACCAGCCAAAAGCACTTTGTCCAGATTTAGGTTCTGTCGTTTATGCTGTGAGTATAATGTTTTTTGTTTTTCTGTTAATTTTTTTTTTTTTTAAGACAGGGTTTCACCATGTTGGTCAGGCTGGTCTTGAACTCCTGAGCTCGGGCGATACGCCCTCCTTGGCCTCCAAAGTGCTTGGATTACAGGTGTGAGCCACCACGCCTGGTCATGTTTTTTGTTTTTCTTAATGGATTACAATATGCACGTAATACATTATTTTAAATAAAATCGGATATTAAATTTAAATTATATCATCCTCCCCCAAAACTCGGTCACATTTCTTTAGCCCCCTGTAAGGTGCAACATCAACAACAAACACCCATCCTGCAACTTGCAACTTGCAAACACCTAACCTGCAATTTACTAAAAGGGGAAGACGATGGGAAGAGTGGCTTTGGGGGTCCCTCTCAGTAAATGGCGCTGTCATCCACACAGTTGTTCCTGCCGGAAACCTGAGCCTCATCCCAGATTCCTCTCTTCCTCTCAGCCCTTCACATTCAATCCTCCCATTTTCTCTCCCAAACCCACCTGAAACTGGTCCACGTCTGCTCCACCTCCACTCTCTCCATGACTTGCCCCTCACCTCTTGTCTGGACTCCTGCAGCAGCCTCCTGACGGTTTCTGCTCCCACCTCGGCCTTCACCCACAACCCGCTCTCCACAGAGTAGCAAAGTCATTCTTCAGAATACGAAACTGAAGAATGTCAGTCCTCAGCTGAAAACTGTACCAAAACCCAAACTCCTTACTCTGAACTAAGAGGCCCTGCCTA